CAAGACTTAAGTCAATAGATTTTGAAAAATATAAAGGGTCCTATGCACATCAAAATCTTTCTGCTGCAAAACATATTTTTATTATACATTAATAACTAATGGCAAGATAATTAGACAAAAATGGCTTGTATATTCAAAAACGTATATACCATTCCATACAAATTATTTTTAATGATTGGAATAATGTAAATAGAATTGAATAGGTGAGAATACGAACAGTACAAGTCCAAAAATTTAATTTTGACGTCATTTTTTAAAATCAATTTTAAAGTTCAAAATACATTTTTGTGAGAAGATATAAATCATTTTACAGAATATGAACATTATATTTTATAAAATAGTTAAAATATTCCCACAAAAATGCATTTAGAACTATGCATATTTTTTGAAATATTTTGTCAAAATTTTGACTTTTGGACTTGTACTGTTTCTAATCTCACCGATTCAATTAAAGTGTATGAAAATACAAATACTACTAGATCACTACAATAATGTGAAAACTCTGGCATGCAGATCAAGTCTAAAAAGAAAAATTGCACAAACAATATTTGTCTGAAAAGGAATATTAGAATAATAATATATTATCCATTTCTGAGGGAACACTTAAGTAAATATAACTCCGGTAAAGGACATATCTTTTATATGTCTTCTACTATTTCTAATGAATTCCTTAGCATTATGGCCACGAAGTTAAAAAAACATATCATAGCAGAGCTAGAAGAAATTAAATATTATTTAATTAGTGTGGACTCTACCCCCGACGTTTCCCACACCGATCAATTAACGTTTATTCTAAGATATGTTCTAAAGGACGGAACTCCAGTTGAACGTTTTTTTATGTTTATTGATAGTCTAGGACTTATGTCCCACAGTATCAATAGCTTTATAGCTGCCGATATCGAGAAGACTGTTTTAAACATTTTAAAGAATTTGCCATTGGACATAAAAGACTGTATGATAATTCTACCAAGATGTCTGGCAGATACTCTGGTTTTCAGACACATTCAGCACATTCATTAAATTTAGTTGGAAATTTTGCTGGAGAATGTTGCGAAAATGCAACTTTATTTTTTTTGTTTGTTGAAAAATCTATGATTTCTCTTCCACCAATAGGTGGCACGTAATGGTGGAAAATTTAAAAGAAAATGATCAAGCTGTAGTACCAGAGTTACCAGAGACAAGATGGTCTGCCAGAGCAGATTCATGCAAAGCTCTACATTGTGGATATCAGTGTATACAAAATGCACTTTAACAATTAATAAATGATGAAACTCAATCGTTTTCAACTTCATCAAAACTTAAACTTAAAGCAAGTGGCCTTCTAAAAACCTTTTCCAAATTGGACACTGGTATAATGGTAGTTTTTTGGAGAAAGATTATGCAGGAATTAAATAAAGTGAACAATCACTACAAAAATTAAAAATTAATATTTTAAACGCAGCAACTTTATATCTGTCACTTAAAAGCTACCTTTCAGGACAAAGAGATAAGTCAATCATTATAAAAACGAGGCTAAAAAACTTTCAAAGTGTAACATGTATGGTATGCATTGTATATGTATATATGTGTGTATATATATGTATATTTTTGTCGTTGTTATTTTTTATTTGTTTTATTAACTAGTCTTATAATATATTAAATACCAATTATAATATCACATTTGGTTAAGTGTAAGAGTAGCCTTGGGCTAAACTTCGCCATTGTGTGCCACTTTTATGTGAAATATTTAATAACTGTATTATTGTAATATTTTACCTAAATAAAGACGATTATTATTATTATTATTATTATTATTATTATTATTATTATTATTATTATTATTATTATTATTAATTTAAATCTACTAATTTGACTATCTCATTCAGTAGAATTTGACTAATTATTAGTGGCTGCTTTATCGCTATGACAATTAGTCAAATATGACTTATAATTAGTTATTTTTGACTAATTCATTTTAAGAGAGCAGACAAAATGCGAATAAATAATTTTTCCCTTATTGTTTACCGAATTATAAATGAATAACAAAAACAAAAGACACATACAACGGTGTGTAAATAATTTAGGCTTTTTTGCAAATTAAATTTTTTGTCGATAGTTATAAAATCAAAAACGCCACTGCCCTGCAAAATATTTATCACACCGATTTAGACCAGGGATTTTCACTTAAAGCACTTCCAAAATATCCTTATTATATTAATTTAAAAAAAGACGTCGTATCAACTTTTCCGAAAATATATGTGGCATTGCGAATGCTCTTGTGCACGCCTGTAACAAATTTCACCGGGAAAAGGTAATTTTCGATATTGAAGACTATTTAAGAAGCAGCTTGGGTCAACAAAAACTATTAATAATAATTCAATTTTGGCTATAGAGTCCGACTTGATGAATCTGTTGAACTTTGAGGACATCATTGAAGACTTTGCATCTCTAAAATGCAGAAAAATCCAATTTTAAGTTTATTTAATTGTTTTTTAACGTTTCTCTGCTAAATAAACCGAAACATGTTTTGTCTTTTTTTGTCCTGGGGTGCTTAATGATTTTTATTTGGATTATTTATGCATATTTAATGAGAAGTGCAGGGAATACAGTGAAGTGGGTTAAAGTTACAAAATACATCAGTAAGCATTGTAGACTCTACAATGTAGAGTGCTGATAATTATATTGTACCAAATTTTTTTACACAGTAAAAAAAATTAACTCTAAGCAACACTAATTAGAGTTCACACATTTTGTTCAGTGTAAATTAACACTACTTTTGAAAAGTTCTAATTTTAGAAAGGTACTTTTATTCTTTTAGTGCAAACTTCTAGTGTAAATTAACACTATTATTTAGTAAAACCTATTGTTGGTAGTGAATAAAACGAAAAGGTAAATAAAGAGAAACATTTATTTGGAACAAAAATCTATGACAATTATCAAAATCGGTGCCTTTTAAAATATAATTTTATATTTGAGTCGTATGGCTGGCTTAAGCAAAATGGTTCCTTAAAACGTAAAAGTTTTAGATCAATGCAATGTTTTACTGGCTGTCAACTTGTAAGCAATGAATTATCTTGAGAATTCATCAGTAATCCATTTTTCTGTTATAAAAAATGGGTGATCCCATTGGTAGAGAGGCGGTATGTCGGGGATTTACCACACGTGTACAAATTTTCCATAATATTAATAAAAATGTAGGTATAGGTTAATATAACAACCATTACGATTGAAAATAAAAAGTAAATGAAGTGTGTATGTATTTATACCTATTATTAATGTTACAAGTACCTGACCTACTGCCGTAAATTATTGATATATAATATAGGTCGGGTATGGAAATTCTTTTAACATATTGGTATTTATTGAGTATTAAGGCTTAAAGAAAAAGGAAGTATAATACTTACCAAAAAATAAGAATGTCCTCTTATGGATTCACCGTAATTATAATCTAACTGAACAAAAATGCCACACTTCCACAACGCGGTATCTTCGGATATGCACTGCGTAGGTAGATTTGGTACCAACCAAACATTTTAAAACGCACTTCGGTTATTACCAGTTTTTTCAGTCTATTTTGCCACTATTGGTGTAATTTAACTTTAATTGTGATACAATGTGCACTAGTAGTGTAAAGAAAAAAAGAGCTCTTAGTAACATGAAAACAGACAAAGAAATTGGCATGCACTGTCACTATTTAACACATTAAGGGGTAATAAACACTTGCATTAAGTTTTTCTACCCTTTTGATTTATTTTAATAATAAGTAGTGTGAATGTACCAATGAATAATGTTCATATTCTTTAAATGTGTTTAATAAAGTTAATAAGCACTAAATGCTACCTAGTGTATTTTGTAGTGTAAATTTTACACTTACAAATCAACTCTAATATTTTTACCCCTACACTAAAAAATTTACAAGGGCAAATTTTTTTACTGTGTATAATTTGATGATTTTAGATTTTAGAATGGTGTGTTATTTAATTGTGTATATGTTATTTTTGTGTTCATATATGTAGGTATGTGTTAATTTTTTTGTTCAGGAAATTGAATAATAAAGCAACATTTCTTATGAATTGTTTTTTCATTTAAGTTTCCAATTTACAGCAAATACTTTTGTCACTGAGTTTACAAAAAGGTTTGCAAAAATAAGGTCCTTTTTGAAAATTACAAGATAATGGTTGAATTATTGACAGGATTTTGTTATTAAATAATTAAAACTACAAAATGTTTGTTATAATTACAAACTACTTATTGAATTAGTTAACAGATTAATATAAAGTTAACATAAAGTTATGTGGACCTGGATTAACATAAAATCAGGTTAATATTTTGTTAAAATTAACAAATATGTTTTTACTGTCTAAAAAAAATCAAAAGATATAGGTTAAAAAGTAGCCCTATTAAGAATAAATTTACTAAAAATGTGTAGGAGACATTAAATGCGTCGAAATGTTGCACCTGCAATAATGGAATCACCTATTCCAAAAAATATATAATTTAACAAAACACCTATAGATGACAAATTAACGCTAAATGAGGCTTTATTGTTATAATAACCAACAATTTTTTCCATAGGTTTTTCCCGGATATTGCAGGTGTCTAGATCCATAGATTTACTGTTTAGAAACAATAAATCTATGGATCTAGACACCTGCAAATATTCCATAGGTAACTAAAAATAAACATAATCTAGATGATGCAATAGAATCCATGTTTAAAAAAATAGCATTATATCTTTTGAGACCTATAATATTAAATTCTGTATTACAAATACCTAAATAGATTAATAATTTGTAATAAAAATAAATGAAATTAAAATAAAGAAAAACCGTTAAAGGAGCAAATCTCGAATTTGTTTGATATTAGCCAAATTATATTTTATCGACTGTTGACGTCGGCAACGTGAGTTTTCCCATTAACTGCGGTTTACCTATCAAAATAATTATTGGGGTGTTACTTATGTTTCTCACATATCCTTTGGGAAAAGTGGGGGAACTACATACATATTTAGCCGCAAAAATGTTTACCTTCATATACGCAAGTCAAATGTCTTAGGTTGTAAAATATAAGGCATTCTTGTATTTAACATCATTAAAACATGTGCCAAAATCTTCGACATCTGACTGTAGTCAGCTTAGCTTAATAATATGTTTCGTGTTTTTATATTTTTTTGACTTGTTGTGCATTTAAGTGATTAAAATGCTTGTGATTCTAGTGGCTTTTTTCCTAGTGCCGTTAACTGCTAGGAGTCTTCCTTTGTACATAGACTCTTCGGAAGTTGATGACTTTGGTACTGTCACCACTAATAAGATGAAGGAAATCTATACTGTTGCAGTAAGTAATCAAAAATTTAATAATATTATGGAATTTGTTTATTTATTCATCTCAATTTAATATGACAACATAATGCGGCAGTTCGGCATTTAACCAAGTCAATGATTCTTTATATTATATATTTATATTTTTAGAAAATCACATTTTATTGAGTTATCTATCATGCAATTAACGAATGTTTTTTAGAATAAATAGTTTAAATTAAAAGCAAAAGTGCAATTAAATAGATTTTATAAGCTTTATTTAACTGTTGCTCGTATAATATTATATCAGAAAAATGATGCAATTTTGCAAAAGATTAATAGAAATTTTAAAAACAGGTTTTCTATGCCTTTTTTTTAAATATGACAATTGGATATATCAATTTGTTTTAAATAAATTTTACATTAAATATATTTATTCAATAAGTAGATAATTTTACGTCTTTAATAATTTCTTATCAGAACTAAATACCTTTAGGTACTGCTATTTCCGAGAAATTTATAAATAAGATAATAAATTAGACCGCATTTAAATACTTGAAGGTTAGGTTAAATCTATAAACATTTAAAAATTAGGAAAATATTTTTTTCTATATATCTACTTAATTTGTTTATTAGACATTTCCTACATGTACAATAATGAGATCCATTACACATTTTTTATGACGAAACAGATTTTTATTTCCACCTTCTTAGTAATTTTTTACGGGCTTGTATAAAAGACCTGTAAAATATAACAGTCTTGTAGAAAAGCAAACAGGTCTGTTTCCATAATTTATCGTTTACTTGATTTCAAAAACAACAAAATTAACCTATAAAATGTCATTTACAAAAAATGTGGAAATTGAAGTTTTCAATTTAAAAATCCAAGACAATGGCAATATTTGCCAATAGAAATATTAGAAACTATTTTCTTGGACATCTGACAGATTTATAAAATTTTACAAGTAATTACTTAAGGTAGTATCTCCATTAAAAAAAAGAGTTTGATAAATAAATAACAATATACCTACAGTAGTAACTATAGTAGTCGCGGCGAATGTTTCAAATTGCGTCATCTTTGTCGAATGTCAAAAACGGTTCGACATACGGTTAACCTAGCGGTTCCTTGGATTATATACGTAAAAGGAAACAACAATAATTATAATGTCTGTGCTTGGTTCAGAATTTGATGACGCAATTTGAAACATTCGCCGCAGCATACTCATACAGCATATTCAGCGGTGCCATTGTGATAAAAATAAAACGTTGTATTTTAATTAAGGTACTATCTCCATTTAAAGAGTTATATATATATATATAACTATATATATATATTAGGGTGAGCCAAAAAAACTAACCTATCGGATTTATGGGTTAAAATGAACCTACATACCGAGAAAAAAATTTCCCTGCAAGGCAAAATTTTTTGCTCAATTTTAAAAGGTGTCGGTGAGCATTCTAAGTTTTCCATTGAAATAACACGTAAAAAAATCTTTTTTCATTAAAAAGACAATAACTTTTGAACCGTTTGAGATAAAATTTTTTACGTCGCGGATTCTTGTAGAGCATAAAATTTCCCAAAGAATCTATACCAGGATTATTTTTTTTTATTAAAAAATTCGTATGTTTGAAAGCTTTGAAAAGTGTAAAAAATCACTAAAACTGCATTTCCATAACAATAAACTAAATATTCAATTTTTAAGCTATCAACATGATCCTATTTTGTTTTTCGAGTTTGGAAACAAATTTTTGAAATAATCTATGGAAAATCTGTGGGAAAAACACTTCTGCACACTTCCATATATTATTTCGATTATTTTTTTTGACAGTTCTCTGTATTGTTGGGACATTGTTGAGGCATTGTTGTTGAGGGACCCTACAGCGAATTACAGCGATAATTTTTTGAAAATTTTCTCTGGTAGTTGCTATATATAAAAAACAAATTAAATCTTAATTAAATGTTGTTTTATTCATTATGAAATTCTTATTTGTTAACTGTACATGGTGCAATTCTATTGGCCGACATTTGGGACGGAAAAATAATCCCCCGAATACCACACGAGCTTCAAAATTATCTGGCATTTCCCTCAAGGTTCCCTGCAAACAAATAAAGTCGTCAAGTTTTTCAGGAAAAATCACTCGCGCTTCGCGCTCGTGATTTTTTAACCTGAAAAACTTGACTCCTTCATTTGTTTGCAACGAACCTATCGGGAAAAATACCCGATAATTTTGAAGCTCTTGTGGTATTATAAGTGAAAATTCGTCTTTAAAATCGAGCAACCAAAGATATTTTTAAAATTGTCATTTTAAATTTCGTGCAGGCAACTTAAGAAACACAAAAATATGGCAGAAATGTTGATATCTTAAAAATTGATTTTTTAAATTTCAAACAAATCTGAAGTTATCTGTTAATGTGTCACAAAATCATATATTAAATTTTAAAGACATTCTATGGAAACTCTTTCATGGAGATACTACCTTAAGTGGTTTTTTTAGTTAATTTTCTACTTTATTATGGCATAATTTTATTTTTCTACTTCCACCTTTAAAACGCCCTTTATCGTACATGTTTCCATAACACTAAGTGACCTTTTAAATACACATTGACAAGTTGTGGCTTTATGGCGCTTTAGTCACGGGCTGAAGTTAGCAACAGGACTTCAGTCACGGGCTGAAGTTAGTTTTAAGTTAGTTGACACTTGTCAAATGTCATACAATCGTTAAAATAAAGTGCCTTTCTTGTAAAATAATACTAAATGTGAAAATTATTTTATTATCTCAATACAAAAATACAAAAGTATTAAATAGTTTCTTAACGCCAATATTTGAATAGTTTATATGAACATTGTACTGACCTTTTAATTTCGCCGGTAGTAAACTATAACTTAAATTCGGGCACGGACACAACTGTAAAATGCTCATAAAACATTTTCTTTACTTTCACTGTGAAAAACTGTCATTTTTCAAGAAAAACATTTTGATTTATAACCTTTATAATCTGTGTTTATAAAATAACTAAATTTGACATTTGACGGTGACACTATTGTTTCGTAGATGGCGCTCTATACAAATTTTTGAAATAAATCATTTTAAGATAATAATAAGTATTTGTCGTAGAAAAAGTATAGTATGCACCTTGTTTATACACTTTTTCTTTTCTATACACTTATTAATTCAAGCACTCGCTCGCGAGCTCGCTCGTGCCTAAATTAAATTCGTGTATAAAATGGCGTTTATCAAACTTGATACATAATATACTATTATCTACTCCCCCATTGGTCACAGCGACTTTATGGCGTTTTAGTCACGGGCTGAAGTTGGCTTCATTATAAATTTAAAAAAAGTAAGGTTAAATCCATTGACAGTTGACATATGTCAAATTTTAAGCAACTAAAATTAGCTTTAAATTCTTATTTCTGTTGATAAAGTATAGTATGCAACTCGATTTATAAACTTCTCTAGACACTCGTTTTTATTAAACACTCTCGCAAGCTTTGCTTGTGCCTAATAAAACTCGTAACTAAAATGGCGTTCATAAAACTTGATACATAATATACTCACTATTGTTAAACAATACATAAAACGTACAATTATAATAAATATAGATTATAATATATTATCTGAGTAGTCGAATTTCTTATTGGTCCAGGCGGGTTTTTAACAGACTTGGAGATAAATAACTTTATCCGATTGGTCTAAATTATTTTTACAGACTAGAAGGTTTTTTATTTGAAGATAAATATCATTATGCCTCAAATAAGTCTTTTTTGTGCTTCGCTCAATTGTAACAAACTCAGCATAAAAATACCTACTTCTCAGCTTAATGACATAAATAACTATTATTACGTTTCAAATTATTTTTTACCCTTCTAACTGACCCTCCTAAATATCTTTTATTTTGTTCAACATTTTAAAAGTAATCATTAATCCCGGCGCGTTCGCCATTATTTGAAATAAGTTAAATGGTTGTATTTCCTTCTAATTCTAAACAAGCTTTTCATTTACAATTTTTTACCATTTTGACGCCTGTCAAAATGTTGCTTGATATTATACGCTAAAGAAGTATCGCTAGTAGCGCCACCACTCGGCTGTTATCATCGTAACAAAAGTAGAACTTTTAATAATCACCTTACAAGAGTGTTTTTGAGAATAAAGCTGGAAAATGTTTAAAAAAATATCGAAAAAAAAACGTGGATCGATTTGTTCTGTTGTTGGGTGCATTTCGAGAGGAAATCCTGGGTTAAGTTTTTACCGGTTTTCTAATAAACAGTGTTAATCTGAATGAAGAAATAAATTGCATAGAGTCTCTGTAAATAAAAATTGTACAGATACAATAAATACACATTTTAGTAGTGATTAACATGAAAAGTGTAAACATTTCAATTTAGTAAAAATCTTCAAACAAATAAGTCGTCTAAATTTAAACAGCTTTTAGCATTATTAAAAGCGTTGATTAAGAATTCTATCAAGTCTCCAATCAACGGTAAAATACCATTATATTATGTATTATATATAATATTATGTTGCCATGAATTCGTAGGTATATTTTGTTGTTTAAAATGCAGTTGTCGGCGTTTTTTAGAGAACTCAAATATAAAAATGATTGATTTTAAGGTTATGTTTGTGCAAAAATTATTTTTTACTAATTTCTTAATAATGTCCAAACTTAAATATAAATTATATTAGGTAAAGTTATCATTAGTTAATTCTGCACCAACAAATGTACTTACCGAATTGGATCCTTTGGCAAAACATGAAAATGCAACGATTTAGTTCTTGAATTTTATTTACAATTAAAAACACAATAATTCACCATGATCCCTTTGATAAAATACACACACTAACGTAACTATAAGCATTTAAGCGTTGAGTTTCTTAATCAATGATATAAGGATTAATCAATTGAAATCGAGTACTAAAAAAGTTTTTTAATTTTTTTCCATGCACAAATAACGTGCGCGATTTAGCTGTGCAATTGAACAAAATTTGTCGAGTAAGACTTCTGCCTTCCTCTCTTTTGTAAAAAAAATACCTATTTATTTAAAAATGATGTATAATCTGTGCTTTAAATGTATTGTTGGCAATTCTTAAATTCTCGCAATGCATTCGAAGTCCACCAGATGGCGCGTGCGTTACGAAAACCCGATACTTCTTTAGCGTATAGGTATAATTATGTATTATACCTATAGGTATTATAACTTAAATTAAGCAAAATTAAAAATACTGTTTTTAATTTTATTAAATGATTTAGTACTGAAACAGCGTTCCATCTTGAGGCTGTCTTGAATAGCCAGCGTTACTCAAAGGTGAATGATGAGATGAAATGAGCAACTTTACACTGCTCGGATGCTTCTTCGCGGCAATACCTCCTATCATAACTGGATGAGCATTGTTGTATCTGTATGGTAGTTTCACCCTGTTTAACGATTTACTACCATACTTAACACTTTCGAATTCTGGACCAGAAATTGCATGTTTACCTTAAAATAATGTTTTGAGTACAAGTAAAAATATTAAAGAATAGCCTTAAGTTACTTTCTCTTATATCAGATGTATTTCTTAAACGTTTCCAAGAGCTTTTGTTGACTGTTTCCGGCTGCAGAACAGTGTCTTGTTTATCGGCAAAAGTTTCGCTGGTATGGTTGTACTGGGCAGTCAATATGAAGTCCAGTTCATCCGAAGGGATCGTGCCAGGGAATGGTCGAAAATAAATAAATCTTCTAGCACTTGCCAAGGTTTGGTGTGCGCTTAGTCTTTCGAATGGGGATAAATTACTGGCCCAGTTCGAACCTCTGTAACTTGATTTTACCAGGGGTTTTAAAAATACTCCTTCGGTGTCGAGATTCGGAATGCATCCTCTGTTTGCCACAGTACCGACGATAACTGTTTCCGACATTATTTAATTTTAAAAAAGGAAAAATTTATGACAAATAAAGTTTTTTTAGGTTAGTAAATGACAAAATATAATATAATACAAGAAACACCTGTTGAGATTTTAGAAAAACAGTTTATACGAGTATATATACATAGTTTTATTTTTTAAATTTCTAATGCTTTTTTTTTATTGCTAAAGTTGTATGTATTTTAGAATAGAGAAGAAATCCAGGAAGAAAAAACTACATCTCAATTATTTTTAAATAAACTAAGAGAATTTTACAAGGTAGATGATCTAGGAAGACAACAAAAAATAGAAGAACGTGACTATTATTTGGTTAAAATACTGAATCGTAGAAATAAAAGATATACTAAAAGGAGCAGTTGTAAGTACCTATCTATTTTAAATATTTTTTTAACAATACAAGATTTTGATTTAGACCCAAGTTCATATTTAAATGTTTGTCGAGCTTATAAGCGCAAATCTATACACTGTTCAAAATCAAGCCTTTTGAAATACAGTAGAAACCACCAATATATGAACGTGACTCATCGGGTGCCGAACATATCTCAGACATGCTAGCAGTAATGTTTTACTTGTCTTGTACATTCGATGCAGCGGTAAATGTACACACACGTAGGTTTTTAAGCATCGGGTCTAAAATGCGCCATCTGTGATGTAAAACTGCCTAGGTGTTCGACAAAGATCGACATATGACGCGTGTCCTGGCTTGTTACTTATTTTTGTTGGAATTTAGTAGAGTTCGTGTTTTAGGCAATTTATTTTATTTTATTACATAGTAAGGCAACCAACTCTACCGTCGGCCATTTGTTTTTATATGTCATATGATCTTTGTTTTTGCATATCGTGTTTCTACTGTGTGTTTACGGATTAATAATCGTTTTAAACGTTGTAGTGCTAGTGCATCGTTTCTTAACCGCGGGTCGCGACCCAAATTTGGGTCGCGGGCCATATCGAGATGGGTCGCGGGACTTTTTGAAAAAGCGCGCCGTAATTACTGCATCCTTAATTTAAATTAAGAAAATGTAGAAAATTGATGATTTTATTTTTTATCGGGTCGCGAGCTTCTAATATTTTTGAATTGTGGGTCGCCAGCCAAAAAGGTTAAGAACCGCTGTGCTAGTGGTTTTTATTGCAATTGTTATTGCACGTTTATTGGACTTTATTGCAATTGTTATTGTACATTTTTTGGACTTTAAATAAACGGTGTGTGTTTACGGATTAATAATCGTTTTAAACGTTGTAGAGGCAGTGGTTTATATTATGTAACACAGGTAGATGTCGTATAAAAATCCTTACCTAGAAATTCTAGGCTAGAATACAAAAATATTTTTATTATATAAATTTTGTACTAGTATTAGTTTAATACATTCTGAAGAAGCTTCTGTGTAGCGAAACAATTGTCAATATTTAATAAATTTCGTGAAACTAACGCATGTTGTTTTTATATCCACACAATTTAAATATCTTTCACTTTGTACCTGACCTGCGTAAACATTTTTGTTTTTTTTGTCAACAATTCTGAAATATTTGCGTTTACAGTTAAAAGAATAGTATATTCTGTAACAAGTTTGGAATACGGCAATATGCAGTTCCAAACGTGTTTTAGACTATACTTTTTCTACGTTTCCAAAAAATATCATAGACAAATTAATTGGAAGAAAGTGAGGTTGGATCGGTCTAAAATTTGTTAGATATTAAAAACAGAGATGTCGCCACGAGTGTACATTCTGTCATCAGATGATGATGAATATTTCATTAAAGTTTAAAGAAAATTATATTTTATTTAATTATCGTAGATGTTAATTATTAAAATTTAACTTTAAAAGCAAATATATCAGAAGTATAGCAACCAACATAACACTCAAGATTTTTTAAAAATACTTATGCCCCCGTTAGAACAGCACTGCACTGGACCGTGACCTTCGATAAATTACTTTGTACGATTGTGCCTGATGAGTCACGTTCATATATTCGTGGTTTCTACGGTACCTAATCAGAATTAGTTAAAGAAAAATAAGGTAATATGCTTAAACGAGTAAAGCAATTTACCTTCTCGTTTATTAGGCAGAAACGAATGCCTTAGTTCTATGGTGTATTCACTAACTTCTAGATAAATTTTATACTTTATTTAATAATCTTGTCAAATTTAAAAAGATAGGCAGATTACCTAAATATTTAGTCAAAATCTCAATTACTTTTAGGTACCTACGACAATTTTGCTTTTAATTTAGGTAATTCTTCTAAATTATTATGGCAAATTATTGATCCGCTGAGTGAAAATATACTTATAGATAAAAATTATAGTAATTCCAAATTGACGAATAAAACACTCTCTAAAAATGAAAAAGTCAAAATTCTACTATTTGAATTAGTACCTACCAGCATTTTTTACAAATAAAATAGTCGTTTTAATTTTTAAATAGTTATTTTTTACTACGTAAATAGTTAAAGTTTGACTAATTTAAGATTAGTCACCATCTTTGACTATTTCTGAGAGTTAAAAGTAACTAATTTCTTTAATCGTTTGTGGCCAACAACAAAGTATTATTTGAATTAAATGCATATACTTAGGCTCCATGGTTAAATGACCCATAAAAACAAATAAAGATGCAAAAAGTTTAGCTCAAAACAGCAACACAAATAATATATTCAACTTTAAAATATTATTAACAATATTTACCTATTGACAACAGCTTGACAAGTGACAGACCAATTCCCGGCTGGGTCAAAACTTTTTTTAAATTTAAATCTACTAATTTGACTATTTAATTCAGTAGAATTTGACTAATTATTAGTGACTGCTTTTTGCTATGACAATTAGTCAAATATGACTTATAAATTATAAGTTATATAAGTTATAATTAGTTATTTTTGACTTATTCATTTTAAGAGAGTAGTGTTCGGTAAGTTTATTGATTTTTCTTCGGAGATATGTTTATCTCCTAGGCTGTAAAAATAATAATAAAAGGACCAACTTCTCAGCCTTATGATATAAAGAACTATTTCGGTTAGTCAATTTTTTCATTCCACATAAATCTGATACTTTTATAGAATACATTATGCTCATACCTTATTTATAGAAATGGAAGTAAATGCACTTTTCTCCTTGCAAAGTAGTGCTGGCCTACGTAAAATATTTTTATATGATTTTGATTTATTTATTTCAACAGGGTGCACCAAGTATCCTTCTATGTGTATTAGGGTAATTTAAAAAAAAATTATGAAAAAAAAAATTCTATTAAAAGATCAAATCAACTTTATATTAAAACGCATATGCAGCTGCGCACAAAGTCGGGAACCCAGAGCAATTAATTCAAAACAAAGAAACTACCAACAAGATTTTATTTAATTTTTTCCCGTAACGTAAATGTTTTCTTCACTTTTTATGAACAATAATTTTGAAATTATTGAAATAATATAATGAAATCCGTTAAGGGCCCAATTTAAAGATAAATTAGGTTATAAAAATTACAAAAGTTTTTTTTCAGGACGTAATTTAATATTCTGAATGCTGTGAGCATAACAAAAATCGTTTTTCTAATATAATCATATTAAGGAATGTGTATATTTCTTATAAGTTTTCAATTTGGAAAGTGGCTTAGTCTTAAAATGTGAAGAACATTGATCTCTTTCTCCACGGGTTATTATCCAATGGGACGACGACATTTTACTTTTCTTCACGGTAATATTTATTAGGTACTAATATGACGATAATCTTTGATAAATTCTGTTAACAAGATTTTTTTTTACCAAAAGTAACTATTTCAGGTAAAGCCCTTTGGAAAGAGATTTTTCTATTTTAACATGTTAAATTACAATTGGCGGCTATAGAAAAAACAAAAATGTGAAGCTAATTTTTTTTTAATTCCCAGGAATAACGAAGTTTTAACGATTTTTAGTTTTGACTAATTTTCAATCTTTTTCAAATTATTTGAGATTGGCTAATTTTTTAATTGCTATTTTATTAGATTTATAATAATTATATATATAATTATTACGTAACTTTTCTCAAATTTAACAGACCTTGTAGCTCTTGAAATAAAAAAGATACCCATACATAGAAGATTCTCGGTGCACTCTGTATACTTGATGTGATGCATGCAAATTATTATAATGATAAACACTTGTTCTAGATCTCACATTATGTCACTTCAAGATTTGCAACATGGGACGATATTTAAAGAAGCCCTTAAACGAATTGCCTGATAATGATGATAAATATTATGAAAAATAAAAATAGTTTTTTAGAATTTTGTTTACTTGTTATTAATTTATTTTTGGCAAGCTGTTTTATATAATAATATTAATAATTTATTTTTTTAGACTAATTAATAAAATAGTATTTTTATTAGATAAAATATACATTTATCTAGATTATATCTGGCATTTTTAATTCATACCTTTTATTAATTAATTTATTGTAGGTAAACATTTACAAAATTCTATTTTTTTTAGGTTTTAAGTTGACGTCACGAAAGGGGGTGTCCGGACACCCTCCCTGGATACGCCACTGAACACAAAGTTTGTTCAATGTCAGGGTGGCCATTTTTTGTAAAAACTGAAAAAAAAAACTTTAAATGTTAGAGAATTCATTTTGACAATAATATAAGTCAAGGAATGTCAGCGAAATGTATATTCTTTTTCTACGGTTGGGACAGGCAATTTTTTTAGCATTTTTGGAATCTAAGCATACGCATTTGTCATCAACATTTTTTTCCTATCTTTCTATATAGACTTATTAGTGCTATAATATGAAAATTATTGTACGGCTGAATATGTAACAAAGCTATTATATTTTAATATTACCAGATTTTTACTTTATCCAATTAAAAACAATGAATTGGTAATATTAGTTTTAAATCTACCTGAAACCGAGCCTGAAACAGAATGATTTTGTACTAAGAAATATCAGCCCTGGATTAAGGGGGGGACTAATAATAAACAGTATATTACCGACTTTTTTTTATATAAAATTAAAAAAATAACCAATATATTTTTTATCAAAAAACATCCCGAAATATGTTTAGTTACTACACTGTTTAAAATATCTGTGGTGTAAAGAGTAATCCTAAAATGGTGTCAAAATCCAACACCAAGTGATGTTAATATAACACCATGAATTATGGTTGAAAATGAACATCAAAACGGTGTTTATCTAAAAATATTTGAGAAGTGCACCTACACAGAAAAAAAGGAATAGTTCATTTAACTATATTAATTTAGTTGACCCATAAGTATTTATTTTTTGTGGATCACGTGATGTTCTTAAATCTCGCCTCTGTTGACTTAAATGAAGAATATATAAGCTGAGGTAGTGATTTGCTTTGGTGTGACACTACAAGTTGTTCGATACTAATAAAAACCTTAAATAGGTGGAAACAGCTGTCAATACTTGAAGTATTTTAAGTTAGTGGAACGAACTAAAATCATTATCTCTAGCGAGTTGAAGGTTCCATTTTCTGGAATAATACCACTGCTAATATACTAGTAATGCGTCAAGGAACTTCCTGTTTCTTTTTTTTCCTTTTTTTTCTTTGTAGTATGATTTAATTTGACCACAAACACATAATATTTAACACTGAAAAGGAGTTCAATTTACACCAGGTAAAATTTATTTTAAAACTGTGTGAAAGTTAAATTAACACCATTTTAGTATTTGAATTTACACCGGACCAACGAACTCTATTTAACACCATTTTGGTTTGTATCGATATAGACCACATGTGGTGTTAATTTGGTGTTAAAATGGTCATGAAATTTTGAACAGTGTAGTAGGCTTCCGACGCGTACTCCAAAGATGATTTATTTTATTACCTCTTTGATAGTTGCCAAAGGACCAAAGTGTGCACACTTCTAAAACAATCCTTTGACGGCAAGCCATCATTTTAAAATGGATAACAATAAATGTTTTCTGGATAACATTTTATATATTCGTAAGTAATATCATAAGGGCATCTAATTTTTCCGAAAAAAATCGAAAAAACACTTTGCTAAGTAATATTTTAACAAGAAGCATGAGTGCTGGTGGCAACAAAAATACGAGTCGAAGAGGAGGATTTTTGCACCTGCACGAATGCATTTTGTTAAAAAATATTACTTAGAATTTTTTTTTCACAGGAAAAATTAAATGCCTGAATGGTATTTGACAAGACTATTTCATGAGTAACAGTTATTCTGCATACACATAGCTTACAAAACATACTACCTTAACTAATAAATATGTAGGTATTAATTTGAAAACTGAAAAATAGGTAATTTATTTAATTACAAACTTATATAATTATTTATGGTACAATTAAAATATAAATTATTTTGGTGTCAATCTGTCAAGTTTTGCCGCGAGTAAACTCGAAAAAACTGCTGACAGGTGCTGTCATACAGTTTTTCCACCTACAAACCATTAAAAATTTACAAATTTTGTAATTCAAAATTGCGCGTTTGTGATTGGTGGAAATTAAGACGAGGGAAATAGTCGGTTATAAGTAATTGCATAAAGCGTGCATGAGGTTGGCAAGTAAAAAACTGCACTGCACAAACATATTTAATATTACAAAAATGTCCAATGTCTAAAATATCTAAGTGAATCTGCTAAACTTAAGGTTAAAAAGAATCAGTTCTAACAAAATTAAAATAAATAATAATAATATATAGTGATGCCGCGAGACGAGACGAGGCGAGAAAAGTCCTTCTCTCGTCTCGTCTCGTGCAGCGAGAGAAAAATAATATTATGCTTCTTAATTTTTTCAACTAATAAGTAACGCATTTTTTATACCTCATCTCTACCCCTCGTAACATACTGTAACGTTTTTAACTGTTCGTAGTGTGAATTAAAACACGCACTGGTTTATTAACGAACTAAACTATTTATTTAATAACTTAACTACACTTAAAACACTATAAAACTAACTAAACACTTAACTACTATATATTTATATCATTACTAGTTTATTTATTTGCACTTATATTTATTTATTTCTTCGCGAGTACCAAAGCTCAACTGCCTGCTCTGTGATGCGTCGTTCCTTATATATTACAGCGCCTACGTCCTCTAGAACATTCCAGCGAGCTCCACATTCTCGATTATTCGAGCGCTGAGTCACCGGCGATGACTCATCGACGATGAGTCATCATTCCGAGATCCAGAGCCGTACTTGCTACAATACCAACGATTCGCTTAGCCGTCTCTTCCCCCTCTAGTTGTTACCTAACACTGGGAAATTTTAATTTGCCCATGCTGATAAGTAAAATTAATGGAAATTGATTGGAAAAAATTAAAGAAAAATTGCGTTACAGGACGAAACCCCCCCCTTCCCCATAGTAACAAACCGTAACGTTCGTGCTGACCCCCTCTATCGTTATGTAATCCTTGAATGACCCCTTAGGTAACATCCCTTAGTTACATGAAGTGAGGAGTTAAAATTTTCTTTTTAAAATCAAGATAAGTGCTTGGAAAGTTTAAACATATATTTCTGAAACAAATAAATATCGTCATTTATGTGCAAAATTATAATTTTTATATTAAAAAAATTGTTTACTTATTACCGGAAAAATCGTGTGTTTACTTATTACCGGAAAAAACGAGAGAGATCTAGAGAAACGAGAAATTCTCTCGTCTCGTCTCGAGCCTTTTTTCGAGAGACAATCGCCCTCTCGTCTCGTCGAGACGACACGAGACGAGGGGCGAGAATCTCTCGTATCGGCGGCATCTCTAATAATATAAATATAAATAATTTTGAAAGTAATGTTGTTTTGTTAGTTTTTGAGCGTATATATACGCTCAAAAACTAACAGAACATACCTACACAACTTCTATTTTTAGAAGTAGAAATGTTAATTGTAATAAGTTAGGCTAAAAAATGTATACATTAATTCAGGGGAGTAGGCAAGGAAGGCGTTTAGGAATTTGACCCCCCCCCCCTGAAATTGGAGACACAGTCGTGTTTAGGGTTTTTTTAAATCCCGTGTTAAAGTTATGATTTTTATAGTTTTATTTTACTTCTATATTCTACCAAAACACCCCAAAATTTTTCAAGTGTAAATTTTTCAAGTGTAAATTTACTTTAGCAATTTTATGTTTTGTAAATTTTTGAGCGCTCACATTTTTTTGTTAAAATAAATAATGATATAATAATAATATTGCGAGTTATATTTATGCTGTTCCCTTTTTATTAACATGAGCTGCTCATGTTTAGTAGTTCACATGCTCATGATGAGCATGTGAACTACTAAACACTTTTGTTCGGCATTTTTCTTTTTTAATTAGGTATACATAATGTTTTACTAAATTTAAAATAAATACCTATTATTACTTAAACGTTCTTTTAATAAAGAACTTTAAGGGTTCCCTTTATTTTTTAGCTCCAGGCCTCCTTTTGCCTTAATCTGGCCCTGAGCATTATAAAAAAAGTTTTGTTGTAAACATAGTAAGCACCGGAAAACTTGAGAATGTGTCCAGCGGCTATTAGATTTTTGTCCCTGACAAACCCCACCCGATAAAAATTATCTCTGAGCTCACCCTTTGGGCGAAGGGTTAGGGGGCCATCCAACGCTTAATAATATTGTCAATTATTAATGATTTGACAAAATTAAAGTAGTGACTGTGTGTGGTGACAATATTATTAAACGAGTGATGAATCATTAAGATCTACTGATGAGAATAAAAATAGTGAAATCCGTCTTGTTACCAATAGTCGCACACAATATTTTAATCAACTCCAGTAAAGAATTTAAAGGCCATTTTATTTGATATTTTATTTAATTAACATCTTATAATGCTATAATATTTAAAATACTAAAAAGCTTGTGACGTCGAGTTGCAATGAAGCTATAATGTTTACATTACATTTATTTGATTATAGGTAGGCAACTAACATTACTAATAATAGCATCTATTAAAAAATTCGATTTTCTGTACCTGTATAGCGTGTTGAGAATGAGAGTTTCAACACTAGGGTAGAAACTTGCACAACCTCACATTATAATACAAGAGTAGTCAAATGCGATCCGACGTGCCTATCTTAAATCGAACTTTTAATAAAGTTGCTATAAAAAATAATATTCATTACTCGGAACGTAACACAGCGATCGCAACTCGTGTGAATGCATCCATCGCTTCGCTCGGGAAGCAAACTTCACACTCGTTGTAATTAAGTACTGTAATGTAATGTAAGGATGTAATGCAAAGCAATATACTATTATTCAACTGACATATTTAAATATACAAAAATATACGTAATTTGTCTAAACTACACATTTGGTTCCAGCAATAATATCATCAACTTTAGTTTTAAATACTCTGTAGTTGATTTGCTTTGGATCTATAGTTCCATAGAGAAAAACAGGCATTCGGTCAGGCAAAATCCAGAGATTTCTTTCTTCATCAATCTACAAAAAAAAATATTAAACAATTTCGTTTACTTTTGCAACTTTTTACCTTCAATTCGTTGGTAAAGATCATTTCATTTTTATCCGAGACAATTAATTCAAGATTCTCAGCGTTTAGTTTCCTCTTTGGATTCCAGCAAGCCAACCCGTCCCTCTGGAGTTGAGTTAGGAAAAGAACGTTGGATTTTTCATCGAAAAATGACGTTGAACTTTGAGTTTTGTCTCCTCTATCGCCTTCCATCTTAAAAAAAAACAAATAAATAGTGTATGTAGATAATTATATCTATATTTATATAAATAAAATGCTTACAGTGTATAGATGGTACGAGTGAGGGTCAGTGGCAAGGGTTTCATTTTGCAAAACTTTGGAAGAAACCGAAAATTCGCTGTTTGAAGACAAGGCGTGGAAATATAAAGTATGATAGCTAAAATAAAATAAAATAAACATGCTTGTTAATTATTATTATATTAATTTATATTATGGGTGATTCTACAAAAGTTGGACAACTTGATGTCATCAGTCAATAGAGTAGGTATTTTAATATTTTTTGTAAATATTTTAGTATATTACAAAAGATACAGGTTTTTTTAACCCAATTTTAATGTATTTTTTTAAAAGCCCGTTTGTAGAAAAACATAATAAATATTCAAAACATCAGTACCTTGGCGTGTCACAACTCCTGAATCAAATATTTGAGTGATTTTATTTTAAAATTTATTCAATTTATTTTAAATTTTTCAATTTCACTACAAATTATAAAACATTAAATAATGTATTTTTCATATTTTATCATAGATTCGAATAATAACAATTTTTAAAAAATTGATAGTCTTTGTACTCACTTTTACCCATCAGTTCTGTGTCCAATGTTAAAATTCAAAATTCGTGCGAAATATTGAAGTTTAAACGTCTACTCGTTTTAACTCAAATGTTGGTAAAAAATTACCTACAGAGCCCGCCCTTTGCACGACAGTCATCTTGAAAACAATGCAAGCGGCTAAGTTGTGGTGAATGCACGTATAGTGCCAGTCAAAATTTCAGTACTGTGGTGAGTAGTTATTTTGTTATGTATATATATTTCATTGTAATTTATATAAGGCTATATGTGATTTGTTAATAAGTAGCATCCACTAATAAAAAATATCAGTAAAATACTTAATTCCAAATTATAATCTCAAATTTGTATTCCATTCATCAGTCGTCAGTTCCATGTTCCATGTTTCGGTTATCTTTTTTTAGCAAACTTCAATTTAAACTCTGCTTGGGCAGAATTTGTTTATTTGATGTCATTATAAACTCATATAAATTTGGTGTGGGTCCCATATCTAATAATTGAGATATCGGTATACCCAAAAACCACCAGCTGCCACTGATGTGTGGTATTATTTAATTTTAAGATATTTAATGTAATATGCTTTAAGATATTTAATGTAATATGCTTAAAGTGGCAATAAATCTTCCCTGCTTAAAATACCCCATAGAGAACCTGTTCAAACCGATAGATATTTGTTTCGGAATGTATGGTGTTTCTATAGGGTGTATCGGTATGTATAGGACCCATAGTTGGGATTTATGGTTCTTCTATAGGGATATCCACCTTTGATTTATTTGCTATTGGTTTCAATGGGGAAAATACACATACATGTAGAAATTACTTTTTCCCCCATAGGACCCTATGGGTTTTAATAAAATTTTGTCAAGTGTTTTATGGTTGCTCTAGAGGGATATACCCATATATCCTTCATTGAGTTATTTTTTATCGGTCTCAATAGGGAAAATGTAAATGTTATTGTGTGCCTATGGGTAGTTTCCTATACATTTTCTATCGGGCCGTATCCAGAAAAAACCATGGACAAATGCACATATTGAATCCGGTAGCGCCCGATAGATTATTTTATATAGGTATCTATGGGTTATTTTGAGCAGGGTTATATTTTCCAAAAAATTATGTATTTAATTAGTACCCTGGTATACTCGTCACTTCCCTTCCATTCAAATTAAGAAAACACAGATGTTTCAGAAACTGTTTGAAAAAGTGACTGGCCCGGTCTGGGACAGTATATTTATTATATGTATATATGTTCTCGTAACAAAATACTGTTTAATTTTCTCCGAAAACTATATAAACAAAATGAGGTCAAAAGTTGACCAAACTTTTGTAGAATCACCCTTATATTAAAATTTGACAATATTAACTTTTTTGCATGAATCGTTTGGGGCTCATGAAAAAATCATTTGGCGAAAAGTCCATGCAAACAATTTAAAAAAATGGCCTGACCTTGGGTGCCGAGGCACTGTCTGTTTTTTTCATGAATCGATAGGGACTGCGTTTAAAAAACATTTCGGGCTCAAAAAACGATAAAGCTTACAATCCTAGGATTTTTTTCGACAAAAATAAAAAAAACCCAAATCACAAAGTTTGGGTTAAGCCCCGGGGCAAAACGGCTCATGCAAAAAAAATTACAGATTGACTAAAATTAAAAAAGTATTACCCTCCGGGTTGTTTGGGTCCAATAGCTACGCCAAAGACGCCGTCGGTCCATTGGAAGTTTACACCCCCAACTACGAAGTCGCCCTTAACAGGATCAGTGTGGAAAAAGTTGTGTTTTGCTCTCCAGAAATCGTTTTTCTCCCAGGAATACACGACGATGCCGAAACCGAACGGATCGGGAAGATACGCGAATGCTTGCTCGCACTTATCAGCATCTACATCAACAATCTAGGATGAATCAGATAATTTTTATTAGTTATACGTCAACTAATTTATTTCAGTTTAGTTTTATCGAAAGCTACTACTTATAATAATAATAATATTAGGTCAATAAAAACTTACCTTCGGTAGTAAATAATAGTTATTAATGGTACTAGTGTGTTATGTTAAAAATCACGCGAGAAAGATTTATACCACGAGGCCTTCAGGTTGAGTGGTATAAATTTTCAAGTGACTTAGGAAACATAACATGGCATACAATGTTTTATCCTACAAGTGGAAGAAACCGTTTTTTTATGAGATAATAATTAATAAGCCTTGTGATCAAATCAAAGGGTCTCAGTACCCTATAAATATCAGAATGACTTGACAGTGACTTTTTTACATTTTGGTCAAAGTAGGTTGTTTGTTTGGTTGCCACGGACATGATACATTGTTAGCAAATGTTTAAATAAATTTTGACACTTGTCAGTTTTCCCTGCAGAAAAGGGAAGCATTTTTTGAAGAAAATAACCTACCCTGCTTAAAATACCCCATAGAGACCCTGTTCAAACCGATAGATATTTGTATCGGAATGTATTGTGTTTCTATAGGGTGTATCGGTATGTATAGGACCCATAGTTGGGATTTATAGTTGTTCTATAGGGATATCCACCCTTGATTTATTTGCTATTGGTTTCAATGGGGAAAATACACATAAATGTAGAAATTAGTTCTTCCCCATAGGACCCCATAGGTTTTAATAAAATTTTGTCAAATGTTTTATGGATGTTCTATAGGGATATCCCTATAATATAGGGCTTCTAGCAAGTCATTTTAGTCATTAAAAATCATTTTTTTCTGTTGTGGTCATTTAATGTCATTTTTTGTAGGGATTGGTCATTTTTGATCATTATTTTAGGTTCTTACTTAAAGTTTATAAGATTTTTTTGGTAAATAATACAAATAAAATGGAAAATCTACGCCACTTTAATTTATTAATCTACACCACTGGTAGTGCCGCACTGGTGCCACCTGTTAATACTTTTAAAAAGTTGTAAATATAATTCTTTCTTTGTTGCTCTCATTCTTTTTTTCATTCTTGGGTCTCATGAAACACACTCCCGCCATTTTCTTCTAAAGAGTGCGTGTTTTAATTGTTTTGCTTAACCTAAAAGGCGAGAGCTCGAGAGCGAAACGTTTTATTCATTAAAAATATGTAATAATGTAAGTAAAAATTAAATAAATAAATTGAAACCCCAATTAATTTGCTAATTCTTTTAAGTTAATTTTTTTAATTTTATATTTATTTGTTAATTTATTTTAATTAATTTTATCTTGTTATTGTTAAAACAATAAAGATTAGGAATAAAACTATTTAAAAGGAGGTTTTAATACTATTTTCCAACTTAAAATTTATTTTTATTAGGATAGAAAGTCATAAAATAGTAATTTTTTAAAAGAAAAAGTCATTATTTTGTCATTATTTTTAAAAAAGGAAGTCATTATATCATTAAAATTTTCAATTTTTTTACTAGAAGCCCTGTAATAATAATATAGTATATATCCTTCATTGAGTTATTTGCTATCGGTCTTTAAAGGGAAAATGTAAAAGTTATGGTGTGCCTTTAGGTAATTTCCTATAAATTTTCTATCGGGCCGTATCCGGAAAATACCATGGACAAATGCACATATTGAATCCGGTAGCGCCCGATAGATTATTTTGTATAGGTCTCTATGGGGTATTTTAAGCAGGGTATAGAAAATGGAGTAAACCGATGAAAATTGCGTTCCTGAGGATATCCTTACGGAAGCGGAAGAAGCAGCGATGCAGATTTTGCCAGAAAAGTCCCGAGATGCTTACGACAAGAAGTTCAAAATGTTTGAGTCTTGGATGAATTCGCGGAAGATAAAAGGTATCGATAAAAATGTTCTATTGGCTTATTTTTTAAATTTGCAAAAAAAATTAGCCCCATCGTAGCCATAGACCAAATACTCGATGCTTCGACATTGCAAAATATGGCAAACTAACGAGCCTTTTAAAAAGCAAATCACAGGGATATAAACCAAACAAGTCCAAGACATTAGAACGACCTGAAATAAAGAAGTTTTTGAACGAAGCTCCCGACGACGAGTACCTGTTGATGAAAGTGGCTTTGATAATGGGGATTAGCGGTGCTTGTAGATGCGGTTAGGGTTGAGAAAATTTTACTTTTTGCTTGTACTTGAAATTTCACTTGAAATTTTCATGACATTTATGAAATTTATTAAAATTTCCTAAATTTCTGAAATTTCATGAAATTTATGAAATTTATTGAAACTTTCAATAAATTTCAATCACTTTAAGTTTAATATATTAATATTGAAATAAGCCCACTCGGGGACCATGGCAAATTGCCTCTCTTACCTCCTACCCCTCTGTGGGCCCCTGCACCAATAATATAAATAGTAAATACCTATGTTTACCACATATTTCTTGAGATTTCTTTTTAAAATATTTTTAAATTTACTAAAACTAAAAGAGATATAGCACTTTTTGGTAAGCTAATGAGATTGTGCCACTTTCATTGTTTTATATTTATATATCTATATTTATTGTTTTTAAATATTTTACTGAAATTTTACGAAAATTGAAGAAATTTCATCAAAATTTTATGAGCCAAAGGCATTTTTTATCCGTTTTCCAATGCAATTATAGCAAAAGTAAAAGTTTAAATTAATCATGACTTTTAAAAAAAATTTAAAGTTTGATTTAATTTACAAATTAAATTGTTAACTGAATTAAATTATTTAAATTAATTTATGCATATAAGTAACAATAATTACTTATAGTGTATTCAAATCCAAGCCGAACTAAACAAAAACGCCCAGACGCTTGATAACTCGTTCTTATTGGTCGATTCGGAATCTGTTGTAAATTATTATTAAAGGTCCCAGGGAAGGCCGCATGTGAAATTTATGCGAAATTTTCAGTAAATTGCGAAACTTTCAATGAAATTTCTGAAACTTTCACAGGCAATGTTGAAATTTTCGGATTAAAAATTTCATTAAATTTTTTTAAAAACTTCACTTTTCCGACTAAATGTAATATTTCAAGTTTGAAACTTTCAAAGTTGAAATTTTCATTAGAAAATTTCAACTGTCCCAACCCTAGATGCGATGATTGGTCAATTTGAAAATAGAAAATATTCAAGACAATGGGAAATATTTTCACGTTGTTTTGCCAGACACTTAAACCAAGAAACTGAGAAGTTTCACCATACTTGAAGAAGGATTTCCAGTCAACCCGATCAATTTGTGTAAAAAATACATGTCTTTGAGACCAAAGAATACTAGTTCTAGCTTTTTTTGTTTTTTACAAAAATGGGTGTGTACCAGCCAGTGTGTGGGAATAAATACGTTGTCGAAGATACCCTCAAGAATTGCAATGTTTTTGAAATTGGAGGAACCAGCGCTCTACACCGGTTACTGCCAGATAAGGTCTTCAGCGACTCTTTTGGCCAATGCAGGGGCTAACATGACTACTTTAAAGCGTCACGGAGGATGGAAGTCCTCCACGGTAGCAGAAGGATACCTAGAAAAATCGGTGCTTAACAAAATACAAATTGCAGAAAAAATACAAGGTTATAATGCGTCGGCGTCTTCCAGCTGCTGTACCGATATGGGAACATCTGGTTCCAATGAACCAACGAATTTTACAATGACTTTAAATTCGAATAAACCGTTAGCGTTTTCCTTTAATTTCAATATCAATGTGAATTCTGCTAATAAATAAATAGAATACTACTTTAAATATGAACGTAAGTTATAATCCATAACTCACTAGTGAGATATGGATTATAACACTAGTGTTATTTAATAGTTTACTTGTCTAAAATGACATTAATAATGACAGTCATAACTGTCATGTGTTGGATAAAACTATTTATGCTGCTTATTAGAAAATTATTTTTTAGTTTGCCTATTTTTTGTTTGTATTTTTTATTACATGAATATAAAAAAATGACCCGAAAATCATTCTTACTTTGACGTGTGAATCATTATATTTTATTCTTTTAAATACAACATAAGTCTTATGTCATAAGACATACGTTTTCTAAAATAAAATGTTTCACCTACCACATTGCCAAAGAAAGAGTCTTCTTTGACTACAGAATCCTTCAAAGGAATTCTTCTCAACAGTTTGTCAGTGTTGAGATCAAAAACTACGAGGGCAGGTTTAGCTACTTGTCTTGGAGATCCACGCATATCTTCCACACCTGTGTCCATCACCCAAAGTCTGTCGCATGGGTCTACGCGTAATCTAAATGTCGACACAATTTGATTGTCTTCAATTCCCTTCTCTATATTCTCTTTGGAAATGGTGTTGGATTTCCAGTCAGGATAGGGAATTAACAGGGGAGTTTTGTTGTTTTGATTATTTAAGGAAACGTAGTTTAGGGTTGAGGCTACTCCAGCTTTCCATCTGTAAAGCAATAAATTAACATTTTACATAATTATAAAATGTTTGTTTTGCACTCGGTATAATCTGTTATTTTATTACAATTGTATTATTAATCTTGTCCAACACAATTATAATTAATTATTCAGTGACAACGCAATTAATACCTTTAATGAATACGTTTTACATACGATTTTATTGTTAAAGGTTGGTCTAAGGACATTTTTTGTATTTTATTAATTTATTTACTACTTTATAGATGATGCAAGTACCTACATAAAATAATATCAGAAAATTAAAACACTGCCTGTATTTAATTACATGTCCAGCAAACTGCTGCACCTTTTAGTATATAATATACAGTGTTGGCCATAATTTTTGGACCACTGTAAAAAAATCTAACTCTAAAACGCCTTTATTATTCTTTATAAAATTTTGGATAAAAATACTTCAACTTATATCTCAGTTTACGTGTTCGAGGGTTTTTCGAGAAAATATTTTTAAAGCCCTTTTATTATATAATGAAAAAACGTCCGAAAAATAACTTTTAGGGTAATTTTTTTTTAAGTAAATAAAAAATATGCTATTAAAGACCGTATTTTTGTTAGTATACCCTGAAAATTTTGTACAAATTAAACGAACAGTAACGAGCGCTTTAAAGTCGGTAAAAATGGCCCCTTTTTGATTTTATATTTTTCAAAATTCAATGATCAATACCTCATATTATTGCCCATATTAATAAATACCTGTTTTTTTGTAAGGGAATACTTTATTAGCAAATTTTTTAATTTCTGAAAATGTTATTCAATGGAGTTTGCTGGGTTTGATATTAGACCCCTAAGATGACCCATTATTTTCTTTTAGAATATATTTTAATAAATAATTATTTGTATAAAAAAGCACATAAAAACAAATTAGCAGATTAACAATTGAAAATAAATTAAACAAACATTTAATTAAATAAGAAATTAATTTGGTAAACACTTTTTTGGACTAAAACAAGTATTTGGTTTTACTTGATAAATACATAAATTAAAAATAAAAAATAATTTTTAATCAATCTAATTTGTAAATAAATGCTTGGTAAATAAAATAAAATCTTATTAATATCGAATAATTTATTTAAATAAAACTTTCATGTAAAAAACATTTTTTTTATCTACATTAACAATATTTACTTTAGAATGGCAGATTTGCATTTATGCACTTATTGTAGAAAATAAAATGTAATTTTTTTTATGGTCTTTTATTTGTGTAAGATGTAAGATATTAATATATAATAATATAAGATGGCCCAAAAAGCCGAATATTTTTTTCTCGATTCCCCTATAAAAACTTGTCGGTTAATCATATTTTAAGGGCTCTTTCTAAAAATCAGCTCAATTACAAGTTTTTTAGGGGTCGCTCGTGAATTTTGAAAATTTCAAAAATAGTCCAAAAATTGTTTAGGTTAATTTTTCTGCTCCCCACAGTAAATTTTTGTACATAAAAAAAATTAGTTACACAAAGGTTTAGCTCAAAATATGAATTTTTAAAGGTCGCTCATAAATTTAAAAAAAATAATTTAATTAATTTTGGTGTTTTTAAAATATTAAATTTGGACTTAATTTGTATTTTACTGCTGCGTTTATTTTTTTTATCTCGAGGTGTATTTTTGTTTATTATAATATGAATTAAAACTAAAATAAAAAATATGTCTTAAAATATTTTGAGCTGAAACTTTGAGAATTTTTGTGTACAAAAATATAGGTACCATAGGGAGCAAAAAATTTAAATTAAAGAAAACAACGAACTATTTTTTAATTTTTAAAATTTGTGAATGCCCCTAAAAATGTTTAATTAGGCTGATTTTTGAATAGGGCTTCTAAGATATTTTTATAGGATTCTTTATTAGTCTCGAGTCCCTTAAATAAATAGTCCTTTTTTCTTGCCCCCCCCTAATGTATGTCCATGTATGTATACATATAACCCCTTATCATATCTTACACAACTACTTATATAAGACCCATTTAAACAAAATATTTTATATTACATTTAGTATATTAGTTAGTTTAAAATACTAAATAATAAACATTATTTATTTTAACAAAAATACTACCTACCTAATTTATAATTTTAAAATAATTAATATTTTAAACAGGCTATAAAATACAATAATTCTATGTTGAACTGTTTAATTGTATGTTGAACGTTTTAAAATTATTATATTTAAAAATAAACAATTAGCAACATAAAAATTATAATACTTACTTTGGAACAGTGATGAAAAGTTTGTCCTTCCATCTATCCAAACCAAGAGGCAAATTATTAGCGGGAATGTAGTGCCCCTCTTTGATAGCGTTGGCTTTGGCTTCCTCACTGGGCCAAGCAAATTCGACCTGTTTCCATTCGAAGACAGTCTCCAATTTCTGGACACCGCTGGCAAAAGCCACCAGAAAGACTACGACTACGGCTACAACTTTCGTCAACATGTTCCCTGATTTGGCCTCCACACTGCACAGAGATTAAACCAAACTGACCTGAGCAGGCAAAAGAGTTGCTGTTAAAGCTTTTTCTCCCACTAGAACACGACCCTGAATTATTTACTTTACATACCTAAAGGTTGGAAAAAAATTAAGTGGTGGATTTCTTAGTAAAAATTATACTTTCTTTCATTTCAAGTTACATATGCTACAAAGATTTTCGTATTTTAGTAATAAAACCCTTATACGGGGTTGTCCAGTTTGTAATAAATTAATTTTAGGAGGTGATAGACTCTATCAGATAGAGAATCGAAAATAAAGGGAACCTTAATAAGAAATTATATTTCAAAAGTCCGACTAACGGAGATATATTCTATAATATAGAATATATTATATTCGCATAAGTTTTAAATTGTTTAACCAATTTTGTTCAAATTCAAACCAAATTTTACAAAAATAATTCAGAAGCGTAGATAATGGAAAGGGCTTCCCTTTTTTATTTCCCATTTTTACCCCCCTTGATATTTTTAAAAATTATTATTATAATTTTTAAATTCTACGTTCAATTTGGGGAAAAAAATACCCTTGAAAAATCATGATTGGAGGCTTTGTTTTCGAGATATTTAAGTTTTGAAAACATGTCGAAAATGCAGAATTCATGTTTTGGAGATGTGATATTTTTGGACCATTGCATGGGCTTTCTTGGAAATTCAAATGTCAAATAAAACTAACGTGTTGTACATTAAAAAGCAGTAACTTTTTAAAAAAGTCTAGTACCTCAAAAAATCGTCCATTCGGTTATGTTTGATTACCGTAAGGTTTGGGATCGATTACTTTTAAAATTGGGCTATAATAAAAAAAACAGAAAAAGTGATTTTAAAAGCAACGCTCAACTTTGCACACTGCGCATAGCAAAAGGGCATATCATATATAACGTGTGCCTTCTTTAGTAAATAATCAAAAGTATTAGAGGTCAAATTCTGAAAAAATGCACGGTTAGCAAGTTATGAGCCAAAAGCAAAAAAACTCCCCTTTCGGGGGATGAAATTAGGGGACGCGGAAAGAAATTTTTGGGGAATATTCTTGATTCATTATCAGCACCCCTGACTCTACATAAAAAAAATAAAACCCGACTACCATCGAGTTTTCCTTCTACAATCTTTGTTTCCTGGACTATATGTTACAAAATCAATCTGAAACGAAGAAACAACCATACAAACCATGTCGACGTCGACATGGACGTCGACATTCTAAAATAGCTATATATAATGACGTTAATTTGCAATGATTTAGCTTTGTCAGGTATCCTCTTAGGATAGGATTATATTTTAAAATTCTTGTCGAGATTTTTTACGACGTCGACATTTTTGTCAACATGAACGTCGACATTCTCAAATTCCTCCAATAACATTTCGATGAAAAAAATGTCATTCCTGCTACAATGGGCAACTGCGAGTTTATCGTCCCAGGAATTGTAAGTTTGATGAAGAATACCTGTACCGGAAGCTTTCAGTAGCGGATCCAGCATTTTGGTTTGGGAGCAGCTGAGGGTAAGCTTTATCAAGGTAAAGACTAAAAACACTCAACATTTTATTTTGCTCATTTAACGCTTCTTCCGAAGAGTTACCTATTTCTTTCAATATCGAGAGAAGATGAGGCAAGAAGCTGCTGTAAACATGCTCAGAAGTCAGATTTTGAGGGGGGCTTGAGCCCTGAAAGGTAGTGTGTCCACGTTTGGTCGTGGATATCTTCAGCAGGGGCTGATGGAATGCGTATCGTAGAGGGCCGATTGACTGGTAAGCAAGTCGTGAAAATCCATCAGTGCAAGAAAGTACCTTTGCCTGATTATAATTTTTTTTATTTATATAATACTACAAAAAACAAGATTTAAATCTTAAATAAAAAAGTCAAGGTAAGTTTTTCCTAACAAATTGTTAAGCAAAATAATGTTGTTATAACGAGGTTTACTTTAATAATAATAATACAAATAATGTCCACGTTTAACTCGCAGCAGAGCAGCAGCAGCATCCCAGCAGATAAGACCTGAAGATGGTACATAAGATTGTACCGAAACGTCGTCAGACATACGGTTTTTTTAAGAACCAAAAACTGACAACATGGAGCAGATCCAGGAAAACAATCTCATGTACCATCTTTAATTCTAATTGCTGGGCTGCTGTTGCTGCTCTGCTGCGAGTTAGACGTGGAGTGGACTAATAACTCCCGTGGAAACATAAAGCAGAACATATATAATATTAATCGTGACGCCTCCTTCTTTGTTTTTAAAAAATATTTTAGAAAATCAAAGACTAAGGTCTTTTTTACTTCGCTCGATTATTATAAGTAACTAACTACCTATACTTACAGTTTTCCTTATAGGGGATTTTTTATTTCTAACGTAATAATTTTTTTAAATCATTAATAATCAATTATAATTATACTTATTGAAAAATTTTAACTTTTTAAGGAAATGAAGGGAAAATATGTTAGACATACACATTCCATCATAAAGTATTTTTTACTTTGCTAAATTATTACTATGAGAAAATGTAGAGGATATTAGTTACTTTTAAACAAAAAAAAATCATGTATTTTCATACTAAGGGGTAATTTCATATCAAATCAACCAAAGGTTTCGAAGGCACCATCTTCGATTTTGATGAATTTTGGTACAGTTGCTCTTTTCATTTAAAATCTCGAAAAACAAAATTTTAATTTTTTTTGAACAGTAGTTTTTCTTTTATGGATATTTGAAAATCAAGAAATTTACCAATTTGCAATTTGCCTATGCAGGCTCTTAAAAAAACAGGTATATCTCAGGAACTGTTCTTCACAGAGCATTGAGTAATAGCCTATTTTAAAGGTATTTAGAAGCCCTTTCAAATGATGTACCACATGATATACTTTGTCTTAAAAAAATGGGAATTTTTTGAAAAAAAATGTTTTTTGTAAATTTTCCAAAAACACCATCTTTAATTTTTCAAAAAAAAAAAATCTTTTTTATCAATGTTTTAGCTACCTAGTTATTTTCCAAAATTTAGAATGGAGAAATGATGGATTAATTGTAATAATCTTTTTTTAAATATCCTTACATAGCAAAAATAGTGGTTTTATTTAAAAATAGAACATATTATGAATATATTAACTTAAAGCTACAACAAAAAAATATATGTTATAAAACAAATAAAAATAACTTTATCTTTTTGTTTACTACTTAACAAATGGAAATTAGTTGGTTTTTTGTCTTTTTTAAGTTTACAACATTTCTTTTTTGGTTAAGGTATAATTTTAATCTTTACCAGTAACAGGCTGAACTTTCCTCAATATTGTATCTTTATGAATTATCAATATATTTGCCTTAGGTTTTGGATAATAAAAATAATTTGCTGGCACATTCGGATGTAAAAAACTAATTTTAATTTTCTTAGACTTTTTATTCTTTCCAATTGTAAAAGCTAACCACCAAAAGCTCTTATAGTTAAGTTAAGTTAGACGTCTAACTCGCAGCAGAGCAGCAACAGCAGCCCAGCAGATAAGACCTGAAGATGGTACATGAGATTGCACCGAAACGTCGTCAGAAATGCGGTTCTTTTAACCGACAATTGTCGAGCAGATCCCGAAAAACCACATACGCCCGTGGAAACCTAAAGCAGAAATATGGGGACATAACTAAAGGTGTGGTAATAAAAGGCTGCCCTCAAGGTGGAGTTCTCTCTCCAATTTTATGGAATTTAGTTGTTGACAGTCTGTTAAGCCGGCCACCCACCGTGGGTGACCCAAGATGCAACGCTGCGGTATGATTTAGTCGAATTCAACAGAATCAAATGCAATTTAATGGTGTATAGCTTTTTAAGAGACTTTTTCGAACTGTATCAAGAACAACAAAATCGTACCTACTGCGCCGTTGTATCGTAAGTGGGCTCATAGAAAAAGGGCTCTTGTACTACTAAATCGTTACGTGTATGTTCCTTTCCGATTTCCAACCAAATCGTACGATTCAATCGAATTGCGGCGTTGGACCGTGAGGCTTTAGAATCCCTCAACAACAATGGTTTCACTAACTTTGGTTATGCAGTTTAATATCACTATTATGCTAAGGGGTAAAATTAAGAGCAGTCTCTGCGACCGCATGCAAACGGCTCTTAAAAGTTGTGCAAGGAAAACTCCTTGTCTGTAAGTTCTTCAAGAACAGAACTAATTCTCTTACCAGAAAAAGAAAACTTGGCTTTCTAAAAAGTTAATTGGAACCAGTCTGGAAGTTTCAAACTAAGTCAAATACTTGGGAAATAATTCTATACAATAAACTTAACTGGAGTAGTCATTTAAAGCACAAAGTTCAAAAGGCCTCTGTGGCATTCTGGCAGTGTAGAAGATCTGTCGGAAGAACATGGCGACTGTCTCCAAAGATAGTCCTCTGGTTGTACACGGCAGTTATTCAACCAATGTTGTGCTATGGATGCATTTCCTCTTTAAACCTGTTCGTAGAGGAAAGTGCATTGAGATCATCTCTTACGCATACTACCACCAAACTTTGGAAAGGAAACAACTTGAAAAATGGTTATACTTGTATCCTGAATAAGAGTGTCCCAAAAACTCCTGTTCTTGGTGTAATGCGTGACCAGATTGTACCAAGCTACAACTTTAACACTCCCTACTGAGTATGGGTGAATGGATCCCCAAACAGCATATCCGACATTTTTACAGATGGATCCAGAACTAAAATAGGCTTTGGAGCGAAGGTTTACTTTTAAAAACCATTAATATGTCTCAGCATACATATCACTGGGTATATATTCGAAAGTTTTTCAGTGTAAAATCATAGTAATCTACTGGAAACTGCTCGTATAATAGCAGAACTTCATGTAAATGTTACATTACACTGAAGCTGATTTCAACAATGTCATTGAACTCGCATTAGTAAAAGGGCATAAGGGAAATAAAGGAAATGAAAAGGCCGATAAACTTGGGTTGGCAAAATATAGTCTGGACCTATTCCACAAAAGTGTTTTTGATCTTGTCGGAATTATTATAAAGGGTCACTGCAGACTCAACAAACTCTTCTTATACTAGGAAAAGTGGAGAATCCTATCTGTAGATCCTGTAACTGGGGATAAGAAAACCTTATGCATAATAATTATGATTGCCCTGCTCTTCAAGAGTTTAGAAACTTCAGTTTAGGAGAAAAATAAAATCGCAATAAAATATGCTAATAGCAGATAAATGCTGTTGCATTTGAGCGTGAATGACAAAAATAATAATAAACAAATATAAATATATTCATATTATGAATGAATTTCATAAATAAAAAACATTTATAATATATAAATAAGTATAAGAGACACAAAGGTAAACAATTTTTTTATACTATATCAAATAAACAATAAACTTATATTACGTAAAAACAATTGCCAGGGAACCATCAAGTATACAGTATAACATACAAATAAAAATAAAAAAACATTAGTGCGAACAAGAGTGGGTTGAATTGTGATTTTGCTAGGATACGATTAAGTCCTCAGTAAAGCAAGTTAAGCGATATTTTAAGATCTATTTGCTTATGGATCTCTTCTCTAGGTATTTCTAGGGTGTGATTACGACACAATCTTTTAAAAACATGTATTGATTTAGCACGTTTTATTTCAATTGGAAGTAGGGTTGTAAATTTTTGGCCCAAGAAATCGACTGCTACGCTGACCGATGATTTTGTAAATTTTTGGTTCGGTTAAGTTAAGAATATTTCTTGTGCATGTGACTTTAATTTCTGATTTTTTAGAAAACATTATATTGTATTGGTGTAGGCACCTTTCCAACCCAAAATATCATACCTTAGGTGAGACTCCACTAAAGCGCTGTATACAATGTTTAGCTGCTTTATACTTAGTATATTTGTTAAGGTTTTAAAATATAGAATGAAGCATCGAATATTTTTGGTTATGTTTTGTATATGGAGATGCCATTTGAGATGCCAGTCTATGAATAAACCCAGAAATTTGGTTGACGCTGTTCTGTTTACTGACGAGTTTATAGATTCCTGTTTAAAGTTTAATGAAATTCTTTCAGAAACTTGGATAGCTGGAGATGCATAGCGTTAACCAAGAATAATTAGGAAAAAGGACTTTTGGAGGTAGTACAAAGGGCCAAATGTGGCCCAGTACTTGTTACCATGTTATGGCTACCCTCCGGCCATTCATCCCACACCACAGCGCCCAATTTAGATGGGACGCACAGTACTTCATTTTAAGCATTTTCATATTTTGTTAATTTCTGAGCCCCCTGTACATTTGATTACAAAATTTGTTGTGAAAATTTTTTAAACCAGCAGATATTGTTTTTATAAGGAATGATTTTTTTTCTTCGAAAAAGTGTACCTATAGGTTATCTGTAAGTTTGGTTATGAATCGTTCAATTCTTTAATTTTAATTAGAAAATAATAGAACAGCAGCAGACTTCCTGAAAAAATTGATGTCCGTTTTCGTGCGTCTTTTTAAAAGTTGAAAATCTATAGATATATAGGTATACCTACAGTTTTATCGCCAAGAAGGCTAAGATTAAAGCCCAGAACAAAGGGACCAAAGTGTAGTTCTTAACAGTTTATTAAAAGCTGTAGTATACTATTAGAGCCCTGAAAAAATCTCAGGTATTAAGGCCCCCACAGAATTTGTTCATAACAGTAACACAAAATATAACATAACCATTTTTTATTAAAAAACAACATATAACTAACATAAAAGCAACATACAATTAACGTTAGCATACCAACTTAAAAACAACGTATCCCAATAAACATTTTTGTTTTATAGTGGTTTGCATAAATTTTATATTACCCAAATTATAAAAGCCAAATTTCTTAAAATAGTTACAAAATATTTATATCACTTTTATATACCTCTAAAGTTCCATGAAAAAATTGAATGAACAGGGTGTGCGAAAATTAAGAAAACTTGAAAGTACTTTTATTTATTAATTTATAGAAAGTCGTTGGCAATTTAAGTTAAATGCAATATACTATTATTTAACTGACATATTAAAATATACAATAATATACGTAATTTGTCTAAACTACACATTTGGTTCCAGCAATAATATCATCCACTTTAGTTTTAAATATTCTGTAATTGATTTGGTTTGGATCCATAGTTCCATAGAGAAAAACAGGCATTCGGTCAGGAAAAATCCAGAGATTTCTTTCTCCATCAATCTATAAACAAAAAATATTAAATAATTTCGTTTACTTTTGCAACTTTTTACCTTCAATTCGTTGGTAAAGATCATTTCATTCTTATCTGAGGCAATTAATTCAAGATTCTCAGAGTTAAGTTTTTTCTTTGGATTCCAGCAAGCAAAACCGTCCCTCTGGAGTTGAGTTAGGAAAAGAACGTTGGTTTTTTCATCGAAAAATGATGTTGAACTTTGGGTTTTGTCTCCTCTATCGCCTACCATCTTAAAAAAACATATTAATATTATAGATAATTAATTTACAAATAAAATATAAATAAAATGCTTACAGTGTATAGATGGTACGAGTTAAGGTCAGTAGCAAGCGTTTCATTTTGCAAAACTCGAGAAGAAACCGAAAACTCGCGGTTTGAAGCCAAGGGGTGGAAATACAAAGTATGGTAACTAAAATAAAATAAATTATGTTAAGTATTGACAAACTTGTTTTCGGAAAAAAAAAATTGTACTTTTTTTGCATAAATCGTTTAGGGCTTATCAGAAAAAAAGTCAATTTTTCTGTATTTAATTTTTCTCCAAAACAAAAAAGTTTATCGCTTTTTGACCTTGATATTTTTTAACGCAGAACTGTAATTGAGACTAATGAACCTACTGTATTAAGATTAAACAAAGCTTAAGTAAAGATCCCCACATACTTCATTCTTTTTCATTCGTTTGGATTGCCACGATTCCAAAAATAAGTGGGGGCAGATGTTTATTCACTAAGTTAGTTTTTAAAATTATCTTGATTTATGGTTCTTGCAATAAAATTACTTATTTTATAGTGCACACTTTTTTATAACATGATAATTTCTTTATATACTATTTAGAATATAAATAAAAATATTCTAATAATCAAATATAAGCCACCTAAAAGAAGGACTTAAGCAGCAAATTCACATATATGAGACATTCTTTTACAAATCGTACACCTATTTTGACATCAGGGTTTGGATTCGCATGAAATTTTTTTTACCGCTTCTATTCAGTAAATAAGCAGATACGTGTATCAGGTTTTCTGTAAAAAAATTGTTTTTTCAGAGATATGTTGATATAAAGTTTTTATGAATTGCGATAAAACGATAAATTGTCTTCTACATAAAACCCATTATCTCCGGTTCTACTGATCGGATCGATTTTGTATTTTTTTTGTTTTAAACCTTATTGAATAGGCTTTTCAAATAAATAAATTAATTTTTTTTTTTTTTTAAGTATAGGGAGTTAATAACAGATTAATTTTTTAAACTAGTTTTTCATGTTTGCCCCCTTTATAAAATAAAATGAAAAAAATACTATTTTATGCGCTTTTTCTTTATCTACAAAATACATTTTTCAGAACAGTGGAGACTCTTTTGGATCGGAAGATATTAAACATTTTCGAGCGCGTGACAGGACTGTCAAGCGCGTAATATTCAAACGTATTAGTGCATGTGGCGGGTGACGTGATATTTTGTATAAGAGTGCCATGATTCGACATCTTTTAATTGGTGACTTATTTGTGCAAATGTCAATTCTGCCAGTTAATAAATTTACTCATTAATTGGAGTTTGTATTATTTAAAATTTAATTTATTTAAAATTATTGAAAACCTTTAAAATCAGAATTAATTTAGAAAAAGCGCTGGTATTTTTTTAAAACGATGTATGAGTTTACACTATCCTAAATAGTGATGCCGCGAGACGAGACGAGACGAGAAAAGTCCTAATAAAAAAAAATTGTGCGAAGACCACACTGATAAAGTAAGACTTTTTACGCCGAAAATGTCGCACATTTGAATCAAATGGTTGGATCTATGTGGAGTAGTTACATATAATATATATTATATTATATTATATTATATTATAGATGTAACTGTAACACTGAGAAAAAAGTTTATTGCTCCCAAATAAAAAAAATATTTAAATATGGGACAAGGGTACAGTATATTTATCCTAAATATATTTTTATTCCCGACACATAAAGTTTTACTAAAGTATATTTGGCTTTCTGCAGAATGGGACCAACCCACACCATGATGAAACTGAGAAAAAAGCTATCAAAGATTTTAATAATTTTAAAATTACCTGTTAATTTTATGCCGATTTTGGACTTACGGAGGTTTAAGGGATATAATTTAATAATTTCATCAGGTGGATTTTGTGATGTTATGTGTAAGGGTGACGAAAAAAATGGGCTTTTGTTGGTTGGTTCCTTTCTGCAATTTATGAAAACTACTATCTGATGTATGTATGTATTTAAAGAAAAGCGACAATTATTTATTTCCAAACAAAATATAACTGATATTACTATTATAATGGTAATATGAATTAATTTTGATTCTATTTGAAATTCGTCCACATCATCTTCTAACCCCACCTCATCTTGTAAGCTACCAAAAAAATGCATCAAGACTTTATATTTTGCAGAAGCAGGAAATCTTTAAATACTTTGGTAGTGGGTCTACCAGCCTGTTTTTTTACAAAAAAGATCCAACCCACTTGCAGATATTCTACAGATTCTAATTCTGGATTAGTAATCCACACTATTATTGAATGTTGGTTGGTTCAATGATTAATACATTTCACTATAGTGTATACACTTGCATTTTGGCTATGACCTATTTTGTAGATAAATTATACATACTTAATTAGTTCATAGACTAAATATCTCGATTTTTTTGGTTTTGTGGGTTGGTTCCTTTCTGCAGAAAGGCGTCCATTTATCGTTATTATTTCGACTATTTATTTAGAGGTAATAAACAATATATTCACTATTAATAAAAGGATTAGCTACACAGTTTATTTGTCCCATTCTTTTTCTCAGTGTAGTATATAGGCGCAGTAGTTTTCAGATGGATGGATCAAATCATCCATCCATCTGAGAACTACTGCGTCTATATGATGTAACTACTCCACATAGATCCAACCATCTTGTACCTACTGCGCATGTCCGTCATTTTGAATCCGCAATTTTGTTGTTTGAATGGATATCAAATTCTTAATCAGGGACCCCATAAATATCTAAATACTAAATTTTACCCAAACCATTAAAGCCGAACGACAAATTTTCGTCATATTGGATCAGCCATTTTATTTTTTGAAGAAATGGATATCAAATTTGTAATCAGCCCCTCAAAAACCACATGTTGTTGATAAGTTCATTGAATAAGCAATGCTTATTAAGCACGGGTTGTTTAATAGTATAAGGAGTGCCATAAATGTGCTTATACAGGGTAAATTTTAAAAATTAATATTATTTTATAAGTAATTTTTTTCTTGGTTAACCTTAAGTTGTGTTATAAAATAATAAAACTTTATACAGGAACAAATTTTGTTTATTATGAAATGCGAATAATAATCTCATTGGTCCAAATAAATATCGCAAAATTAAAATTTTTATGTAAAAAAATTGTTTACTTATTACCGGAATAATCGAGAGAACGAGAGAGATCGATAGAAACGAGAAATTCTCGAGCGAGAGAGGGCTTTCTCTCGTCTCGTCTCGAGCCTTTTTTTGAGAGAAAATCTCCCTCTCGTCTCGTCGAGACGACACGAGACGAGACGAGAGGCGAGAATCTCTCGTATCGGCGGCATCACTAATCCTAAATGTGTTAGCGTTTCGAAGATGTCTGATTAGGGGGTGTCCATTAATTACGTGAGTCAATTTTAGCGATTTTTCGACCCCCTCCCCCCTTGCTGAGATGTCGTGAGATTTGGCTCAACCCCCTCCCCCTAATCTCACGTGAGATTTTAAAAAATGCTTATTTTTAATGTTTATACGTTAAACTGCTTGATTCTGTTGGATTTATTAAAAAAACATACTTTGTTAAAAATTACGTGATATTTGCCGAGACCCCCCCCTCTCCCTTACGTGAGAATTGATGAGATTTGGCTTGACCCCCTCCCTCCCCTAAACGCCTCACGTAATTAATGGATGCCCCCTTACGGCTTGTACCGGTCACGCGCTCGAAAATATTTAATATCTTCCGATCCAAAAAAGTCTCCATTTTTCTGAAAAATTCATTTTGTAGAGTAATAAATAGTGCATAGAACAGTATTTTTTTTAATTTTTTTTCATAGAGGGGGCAAACACAAAAAATCTGTTTATACAAAAAAAAAAATTTTTTTTTCATATAATAAACAAAACACAAACTTTTTAAATATTTATCGAAAAAGACTATGTAATATGGTTTAAAATAGTGTTGCAACGGTTACGGTTACGGTTACGGTTAATTCACGGTTTTCGATATTATACGGTTAACCGTAACCGTATGTCGTTAACCGTAACCGTATTTACGGTTTTTCATGCTACTTTGTGAATGCATGTAAAAAAAAAATTGAAGAGTAATTAACGTTACCAAATATACCACCTAAGTCAAATCCGTTTACATTCTGGAAAACGTGTTACACGTTTCGGCGTTTAAGAGTGTTGGCACTAAGGTATTATACAAACCATTGTCAGTGAATTCGGAGAGGTTGTTTTCGACTGCAGGTCTTGTGCAAACACCAAATAGGAACAGGCTGATTCCGCAGAATTTGCAGATGTTATGTTTTTTAAATAAAAATTTGACTCGTAAATTTTGAATATTAACATTTAATTTTTTTATATTTTTAAATATATTATTCAGGTACCTACTTAGGTTTTACTTTACTGTTTTTAGGTTTAAAATGTAACTCATTTCCTATTGTTTTACAGTTTTATTAGAAATTCTGTTTTTGTTTTACATAAATTATTATTTAACCTTTACTGAACGTGTGTATTAATTTCAAAACGTAATTCTGTAATTTTTTTTTGAATAACCGTGAATTTATTCGTAACCGTATAGCTAACCGTAACCGTAACCGTAACCGTAAAACCCGAAACCGTTGCATCACTAGTTTAAAATAAAAAAAAAATTAAATCGATCCGATCAGTAGAACCGGAGATAATGAATTTTAAGTACAAAAGAATTCAGCATTTTTTCAAATTTTATCAAAAGTTTAAATCAATATATCTTTGGAAAAATAAATTTTCTGCAAAAATTCCGATATAGGGGTCGGCTAAATTTATGAAAAGATGCTGTAAAAAAAAATTAAGTCATTTTAAAAATTTGAAAAAATATGTTTTCTGTAATCCGTACGATATGTAAAAGAATGTCTCATATGTTATAACATAAAATCTTGTACAATCTACAGTGTGATTTTTTACGATTTTAACAGGATTTGTAGATTTTGATAAACTGTACTTTTGAAGCAAAAAACACCACATTTTTTAAAAATACAAGGCCTACTATGTCAGTTTTTGAGAGTAAATTTTTAAGAATTCATATTAGCGATTTAAATTAAAATCTATGCACTATACTTAATTTTATTGAACATTTTTAAGTAGGAACGATTTTGTAGCTAAATTAAAAATGCACAATAATTACTATATACAAAAATGTATTCTGTCAAGTTATCCATCAAAAAAATATTAAAATAAAATTATACTAATAGTTACATGGTATACATATACATATTCTTATGCTTAGTTTTAACAAATTAAAAACGCTATAGAAACTTAAAACAATGAAACAAAAATAGATAATTCCAAAAATTCTCTACAATTAGATTTTCGTCATCTCTACTAATCCACCATTTATTTAAATACACTTTCGTATTTGTTCTGGAGTAATGGCTGCGCAGACTTGTATTACCCTAGCCCGTAGTTCTTGTGCAATAAAATAATTTAATTTGAATGTTTTTTTCATGGATAACTTGACATAATAAATTTTTGGAAATAGTTATTATTGTTCATTTTTAATTTGGCTACAAAATCGTTCTTACTTAAAATTTAGACCCTATAGGGTCGTTTTGAGGAGTGGTGCATAACTACATATTTTTTTTAAATTTGAATTTCTAAAAATTTACTTTTAAAAACTGAAATATAAGGCCTTATATTTTGTAAAAATATGGCGTTTTTGATCCAAAAATTCAGTTTATCCAGATCCGGTTAAAACAAATGGGTCACACCGTAGATTAGTGTGATTTAAAAGAACTGGTAGTTTTTCAATTTAATTGATATATTTATATATCTGAAGTAGTTTTTTTGACTTTTTAATAAATCAATTATTAATAAACTTTTAATTTATGTTTGAAACTATTTAATTAAATATTCTTCCCTAGCGATATCAGAACACTTAATATCCGCTATATTGGATCACCATTTTGTTTTTGAAAACATGAATATTAACTTTTATTTTTTACCTGAACCTCGAACTCTTTTTAAAAAAATAACAGAACAAATACTATAGTAATTATGACTTTTTCTTTTTTTATATAAAAAGGTGAGATAAAGTCATAATTTTTTTTTCAAACGAGGTATCTTTTTATTTTTTACTATCCTTAAGGTACTCCCAAAATTCATATTTGTAAATTAATTTTTAACCTGAGCACGGACCAAAAAATGCAAATAACGTCAGTAATAAAAAAAAGTAAAAACCAGGAATAAATCTCCAAAACAGGAAAAAACCAGTACACAATTAAAACCAGGACACATTAGCAAAAACCAGAACCTGTCCTGGGTAAACCAGGACCATGTCACCTTACCCTTAGTAGATGTCTACTGCCCCTGGGGGGGCCGCCGACACCTTAGTATTTAAAAGTCAGATAAATAATACATATAACCAAATTACACAATTTACTTAAAATAAAATGTTAGGTAATACAAATAATTTTGGAAGTAGGTAAAGTTAAAACTACTATAATAGGTATACTTATTTGTTTGTAAATTGTTTGTTTTGCTAAACTTCTTCTACTTTAAAATTTTAAAAAGAATATATATATAGAGTATATACTTGTAAGCTTAAAAAATAATAAAAAAACATATAAAAATAAAAGAACTCTTATTTTTAAACTTTAAAAAGAATATTAAAAGAAATGTTGATTGTAATAAGTAAGGCTATGAGAAATTCTCATTGAGAATGCATGAATTAAAGAAGATTATTTTTCCTAAAAACAATGAATTTTTACGTTGGGAATAATAATTATTTATGTAGGTAGTACCTACTAGATACCAATTTTTGGAAAAGAAAAAATAAATACATTAAAATTACAATTTAATTATCATTTAATTTAATTTATTGTTTTCGATAACTTGTTGATTGTAACAAGTTATCGAAAGCAATAAATTGTAATTTTAATTTATTTATTTCTCCTTTTCCAAAAATTGTCATTTTTCATTTATATGTATGCTTTTCAACCTAGTGTAAAGTAATTTTAGCAATTTTCATGTTTTGTTAATTTTTGAGCCCACCGAGGGGTGGGTAGGTTCCTGATAAGTTTGGGTTAAGCTTTTCTTATAAGTCCCGGAGCCAAACAATTCATGCAAAAAAATGTTTTCCGAAAAATACAATAAAGTACAGCTTGACTAAAATTAAAAAAGTTACCCTCCCTGTTCTCTGGGTCCAACAGCTAGGCCAAAGATGCCGTCCCTCCATTGGAAGTTGACACCGCCAACTAGGAACTCGCCCTTAAGAGGATCAGTGTAGAAAAAGTTGTGTTTTGCTCTCCAGAAATCGTTTTTTTCCCAGGAATACACGACGATGCCGGGACGTGCGGGATCGGTAAGATACACGAATGCTTTCTCGCACTTATCAACATCTACATCAACAATCTTAAATAAAACAAGTATTTTTATTAATTATAATTGTACGTCAATTAATACAAACTTATTAAACTTAGGTAAGTAAATTTGTGGTTATATTTTTTTATCTAAAACGGTTAACTTCAAGGTAGTTAATTAAATAATAGGTCAATAAAAACTTATCAAACTTAAGGTGCGTAAATTTGTGGTCATATTTTTTTTAACTTAAACCTTCAAGGTAATAAACACATTAAAAATAATATAGGCTCGTTTTTTTAGGAGTGACCCAAAATCATTCTTACTTTGACTTCTGAATCCTTTTATTGTTTTTTCTTTTAAATACAACATAAGGCAATGGCACGTTTCCTAAAATAAAATGTTTTACCTACCACATTGGCAAAGGCAGAATTTTCCTTGACTACAGAATCCTTCAAAGGAATTCTCCTCAACAGTTTGTCAGTGTTGAGATCAAAAACCACAAGGGCAGGTTTAGCTACTCGTCTACGAGATCCAAGCATATCTTCCAGACCGGTGTCCATCACCCAAAGTCTGTCGCATGGGTCCACGCGTAATCTAAATGTCGACACAATTTGATTGTCTTCAATTCCTTTCTTTATGTTCTCTTTGGAAATGGTGTTGGATTGCCAGTCAGGATAGGGAATTAACTGAGGAGATTTGTTGTTTTGATTGTTTAAGGAAACGTAGTTTAGGGTTGATGCTACTCCAGCTTTCCACCTGTAAAGCAATAAATTACTATGTTACCTAATTATAAAATTTTTGTAATGCATTCGGTATAATTTATTATTGTATTGTATTGTATTGTAATATTAATATTGTCGAACACAATTATAATTAATTATAAAAATTTGCTACTTCATATAAAATATTAGCAAAATTAAAACACTAATAAATAATACATATGTATGTACATATGTATTTAGTTACAAGTCTTTACTGAACCATAAACGCACAGATCAAACGGCTGGACCTATTAAGTATGAACTTTTGGCAGTGCATTCCTATAATGACATGGATAACCGATAAGAAAGGATTTTTTTAAATTCCATCCCAAGAAGGTAAATTGCAGGGACATGTAATGCGTTTGCTGGGTTTGATATTAGACTCCTAAGATGAACCATTATTTTTCTTTAGAATATAAATTAATATATAATGAGTTTTATAGAAGGAAGCATATGAAAACAAATTAAAGAATTAACAATTAAAAATAAATTAAACAAACATTTAATTAAATAACAAATTAATTTGGTAAACACTTTTTGGGACTAAAACAAGTAATTCGTTTTAATTGATTAAATAAATTAAACATATTTTATGATTGGGGAATAAAAAATATTTGTAATCAACTTATTATGTAAATAAATAAATAACATCTTTATTAATAATAATGATTTATTTAAATGAAATTTACATCTAGAAAACAATTATTTCTATTCTACATTGTAAATATTTACTTAAAATCGGAAGCTCTCTCTAAAAATTTTGAAAATTTAAAAAATGGTCATAATTCGATTTTTTCTTAAGTTAACTTTTCTGCTTCCCAGGGTAAACTTTTTTAAACGAAAAATTAATAAGTTTTAGTTAAAAATATAAATTTTTAAAGGTCGCACAGAAATTTTGCAAATATCAAGTTCATTCTTTTTGATCTTTTTGAGCCATTTTTAAATGTTATATTTAGACTAAATTTATATTTTACTAAGAAAAATTAAACACAGCAATGTGTTATATTTGTCGTGGTGTGTTTTTGTTCAATATAATATGAATTGAGAGTAAAATAAAAAATAATTATAAATATGTAAAGGTCGTCTAAAAACATCAAAAACAACAAATTTAAAATTTAAAAAGTTATGAGCGACCTTTAAATATCACATTTTGAGCTGAAACTTTGAGAAACCTATTTGTTTGTCGTTACAAAAATTACCATAGGGAGCAGGAAAATTTAATTAAAATCGAATTTTGACTACTTTTAGAATTTTTAAAATTTGTCAGTAACCCCTAAAAAGTTTTTAATCAAGCTGATTTTTGGAAAGAGTTTCTAAAGCATGATTAACTAAGATATTTTTATAGGAGACTCAAAAAAACAATAGTCGTTTTTTGGGCCACCCTAATCTTCATACATGTTATCATTTATGCATATCTTACACAAACATAAGACCATACTCAAAAACCATAAAAAAATATGTATTTTATAATACTAAATGGATTAGTTAGTTTAAAATACTTTGCCAAAATTAATTTAACCCAATAACTTTATTTATTTTATTCTAACAAAAATTTAAAATTAATTAATAATTGGAACTGGCTATAAACAAACAATAATTGTGTTTTACAGTTTGTAACGTTTTAAAATTATTATATAAAAAATAAACAATAACCAAAATAAAAATCATAATACTTACTTTGGAATAGTGATGAAAAGTTTGTCCTTCCATCTATCCAAACCAAGGGGCAAATTATTAGCGGGAATGTAGTGCCCCTCTTTGATAGCGTTGGCTTTGGCTTCCTCACTGGGCCAAGCAAATTCGACTTCTTTCCATTCGAAGACAGTCTCCAATTTCTGGACACCGCTGGCAAAAGCCACCAGAAAGACTACGACTACGGCTACAACTTTCGGCAACATGTTTCCTGATTGGCCTCTACACTGCACAGAGCTGAATCCAAACTGACCTGACCAGGCAAAAGAGTTGGTGTTAAAGCTTCTTCTCCCACTAGAACACGACCCTGAATCAATTACACAATTCGATAAAACAAAAACTTTTTGATATCCTTGGGTTCATTTTATGATTTTTTATTCATTATGCACCAAAATGAAGAAAAAAAATTCAGATTCTTTTGAAAGTTTGATTTTTAAGTTTTCATAGACAGGAAATTTACTAATAACACTGTAGGGAGGTGAAAATATCACAGCTAAACGCTTGGACACGTAAACTTAATTTTTGGTCGTACATTACAAATCCATACTTATATGGTTTAGCTGTATCAGGTCAAAATTCAAAGATAATGGAAATACCCTGTATAAATTTAAACACCTTGTATAAATTTAAAAAAAAATCAATTTGGCTGGATCCACACATCAGTTCCATATTAAAAAAATGCCTAATGGGTTTTTCTTAGATAATTTAGGATATTCAAAATATTTTTTGCTGATTGTTTTTATTTGATCATAATTGAGGATATTATTTAAACCGAAATAAAAAGCCTAGGAATATTGGCACAAGAGGTGAAATATTTTATTTTAAAAATTATAATATACCAGTTTACAGTGTGTCTCCGGATCGAATTGCCAATAGGAAAAACTTTTTTAGACCTGATACAGCTAATCCGAGCACGGATTTGGAATCTACGACCAAAAATTATGTTTACGTGTCCAAGCGTTTAGCTGTGATATTTCAAGAGTTAAAAATTTACCTACAGTTTAATTTTTGTTTATAAAACCTTTAATTAATTAATTTAATTAAACAAAAAGTGTCCATGGATCCCGAGTCAAAATTTAAATCGTAATTTAAACCTACTTTGACCTACCAAAACTGATTTAAAACCTGTTCAGTCTGTTTACTCCAATTTAGCACTAGAACAACCGAATTAATCTTCATTTGAACCGATTTAAACCGATTTAAAGCTCTAATACAATTTTTGGTTTAAATTTAAACGTAATTAGAACCGAAAAATCGGGGAAATGGACTTATCTGCCATGTTTTAGGTCATAAGTTGGTTATTTTTAGGCGAATATAAAACCGTTTAAGACGGAAATTGTCAAACTTAAGGTTTAAATTACGATCTTAATTTTGACTCGGGATATTTTTTAATTTTGCTTATATTTTTATCCTTTATCCCATGGGTTGCAGAATGTCTCTAAAGTCCATATGATACAACCTCATTTAGATAAGTTTAAAAATTACATTTGAGCTTACTAAGAGAAATATGCAGAACGTTTTTATGATGAAAGAGAGAAAGAAACCACAGAAAGAGTAAAGGGGTTTACTCAATAATTCTTAAATATTAACAAGACATTCTTTTGGCAAAAGCAAACTTTTAATGAAATATATTTGTTTTCAAGCGTAAGTAAAACAATTTTCATAATATAACACTCATAAGCCTATATGTATACCGCCATACAATAATGAAAATACATTGAAATTACATAGGAAGAGTGATTCCATTTATCGCGTTTAGCCCGAAATCCGTAAATAAAATGTATATATAAGCATAAGCTAGCCGGCCCGCATACGGCCCGAATACGTATTTCTTCCGGCGCGGCGTGTAGAACGCCAACTGTCGGGCATATCAGCCTGGCCGAATGTCGGCTATGTTTACTCGGCCGAGTGCCGGCCCCAACCCCCTGGGCATTCAAAAAGAGCCTATGGACGTCCTGTAGAGGTCTATCCTATAAGTTCAGTCCTGAAATTCTCTGAATGGCAAGATACTCTTTTAACACACTCGACTAGCTAGACATTATTCGTTACTGAGCAGATCAGGATGGAGATGGGACTCCAAACAATTAATGTTCAGCTATGCCATTACGGACGCACACTTCCAACTAAATATTGCAACCAATCGCTATTTATAGTTAGCTCGCGTGCGTAAGCAGCCGTAAGATGTATCGCTTATGCCGCGGCAGGCCGTATTCCAGCCGTAAGCGGGCCGGCTGGGGCAAGCCGAACCGCTGGTCAACCGCCTATGCCGAGCGAAGGCCGACTGTTTGCCGAGTGTTTGGTGCTTACTGTGGAATTAGCCAGCATTTTATGTACGTAACGTAACGTAATGTAATTTAAAAGATATAACCCTAATAGGGTTACCCTATGTACGCGTTTACCCAGCATTTAACGTAATGGAAAGTCGGTCAACTTTTAACTTTCCTTAAATTATATTACATGAAAATGAATCTGCGCTTGTGCGGCGTTATACCAACCTTATTTGCAAAAACAAAATTTACTATCGAATGTTTAAAGGTTAGTTATATTGTTTTGTGCTTAAAATCTTTGTATAATGTTTAAAAGTAAAGATAATTATAATTCAGTCAACTACACCAGTAAGCACAAGCTAGCCGGCCCGCATACGGCCCGAAAACGTTTTGCCGAATCGGCCGCATACATGTACAAAAATGAATTTAAGAGTTTTAATTGTTCACGTCTCTCGATGAAATGCCCGCTTAAATTAAAATTATAACTGAAGCTGTTCTTCAGATATTTGAATATTATAATATTCTATAGTTACTATAGTTACCTTATTTTTTAAGATAAATAATTTTTAACTTGGATTATTTTCATGCGTATTAATGAACCCATCCCAAATGTTTATTTTTCTTACGCATTGCTTAATATTTATATAAGCTTTAATAAACACATATTTTATTTTTAGTGACAGATTATTAAATAATCATTATTTTATCAATATTAGAAGCTGTAAATTGTAAGCTGGTACGAAAAATACCTGCCAACTTTAAAACTAAAACTTTTAGATATTTCAAAAGGAGAATAACAGAAAAAATAATAAAGCCTTTTTTTTTACTTTTTCCCCATGCGTAATTTGCTAGTAAACAGTGAAAATGTTGGATTATGCAGTTGCTCACCATTTTCCACTCTAGCCTGTTATTTCTAGTTTTATATAAGGTTAGATAAAACATATCATATTGGAATAAATTTTATTACGTATTTAATTAGTTAATACTATTTTAAAAATTATTTAAAAAAGCAAATAGACATTTAGAGGTGCCATGAAGAAAATTCTACCACAGCCTCCCAAGCAACAATTTAAGTATTTGTTACCTATATGGGACTATTGAAGAAACTTTAAAGTGTCATGCGACAGTCGCCGGTCTCTTTATATTACTCTTTCATTACTAAGTTACGACTAAAGTGGGGAACAATTATTGAGTTCCAAAAAGGTAGCAAATATGTCACTAGCTATAAACCCTGCTAGTAGGCTGCTACTATTTGGAACTTAGCTACTACGTTACTAGAACGTTTCAATATCGTTGCTAGAGCGTTATAATTACTTTTATTTATTTGTTTTTACTTCTATATTAACTGCCTTTATCAAACTTATATTAGATTATACTATCGCTCCTTTTTTTAATGGAACCACTACGGACATGGCTTTTCAATGTCGTCGTTTATTAAATATGTACTGGTAGTTTATAACTTCCAGAATAACAATATAATGTTTAATTAGGCAGGTAAATTTATAAACCCTTTAAATTTTACTGTTGAACTTATTAATTTAGTTTTTGTAAAGTATAAACAAATTATTTATTTAATAATGTTTATAAATAAACAAATCTTAATATTTATTATTAATTTTTTATTTCATTATTAATACCGTCTATTACCAACAAAATTACTATTTATTAAAAAATAAAGAACCATTTACAAACAATTAAAATAATTTATTATTTACCTTACCATGTGGTAATGTACAGTAAAAATGGCCGATAAGAAGCAGTTTCCTTTGAAGTAGTTTTCGCTACGTTTTTTTCCACCTTAATTTACTTTACGGTAGTTTTGGTTACTACCATAAACGTTTCATATACTAAAATAATAACTTTTAAGTTATTAACTTTGTAGTTTTTAACTCACCAGTTTCGAGATTTTAACTTGCAAAGGGACTACAAAGTAAAAATAATTATAATGTAATCTTTAGGTAGCAACCGAAAGTAACTGCTACAAATTAAATTTCCTTGAAAGTTTTTTTTACTTATAACACCTTTTTTTAAGTTGCAACCAAGTTTTACTTAAATGTTTATTACTTTATAGTAATCATTTAAGGAAAGAATTAAGTTTCTGTTACAAAATATTTCTATTTAAAAGTTAGAATTACTTTTAAGTAAAAATTAAAGTAGCTGTTAAAATATTTCTATTTAAAAGTTAGAATTACTTTTAAGTAAAAATTAAAGTAGCTGTTTAGTATACTTAAGTAATTTAAATTTATCACCACTTTGGTAATGGTTTTTGGAACCAAAAATGCTGCTTGGGCTTCTTTAACCTGTTTTAAAATGTTAGGAATTTCCGATGCATTGATTCACCGGCCATAAACCTGAGCCATCATTTTCCAAAAATTTAATTAAATCCTTTACATGGTTCAGAAGAACGTGTATTTTTAAGGTTTCGCACATTTCAGTACTTCTAAATGCTTCGAAAACTTGATGCAAATATATTTCCAGGTCCTCTGATCCAAATTGGTTTGTCGAAAAACCAAAGTTTACGAGCTTGTCCATTTCTTTAAAAGCAGATCTGCTATCTGCAGTTACGAGATGTACCAACCGAAAATATCCTACGTACTTCATACATTGTTTGATCTTGAAGCAACGCGTTTGCATGTTTCAACAGTTGGCGACAAGCATTGCCCTCAAAAATCTCCACTGATAATTTTTTGCAATTAATTTAATTTTTTTGACTACGTCAGCGCCTTTTTTCGTCCAACAAGAGAAACCAGTCCTTTCCAAAAAAGATGGATTACATACCCTTTTAGTAAATGTAGTTTAGGTATTACATATTTTTGAAGAACATGTGTGTCTTCGTCTTCAGTAAAAATAGGAAGGTTTACTGTGCTGTGACAATCTTTGGCAAATAGGTTGTTGTTTTCCAAACACTTGAACTGTCCATAGTGTTTTCTCAAATGACCATGGGTCTTTAACATCAAACAATTATTATCATCAGCATCTAATGTTTTTTATATCTGTTAGTGTCATAAAACAGTAAGGGGGCA